TCAAGTCCAGTGAGTTTTAAACATTATAATGATACTCGATCAACAAAACATATTAAGCCAATATGTTGTATTTGGCAATATTTGGGTGATTTGATTAAAGATAATATTTACTCAATGTAATCAGGAAGATAGGAATAAGAGAAAAATCAAGTGCAGAACTTAACAGTTCCAAACCCTCAAACATCAAATTATAACCAAGTCACATTTAATATTTTCTCAATGCTGTATTTAACAAGTGGTTTTTTGTTTTTGTTTTTTCATCTTCTGCAGTTAGTGATGATGGCCTAGGTGAACTTGCTGCCTTACCTTTGTTTCATATGTTCTCCCATAAAACTTTTGGGGCACAGTCTTCACAAAAGTGACTCCTGTTTTCAGGGACTACACCTTACCTTGAATAATAAACTCTCCATATATGCATGTTTATTCATACTTTATAAATCTCTCTCATATGTTAAGTACAGTGTACCTTCCCGTGACAACTCTGAGCCCAGCACTATGCCATGCTCAAGGAAACACAGTGAATTAAATACTTTCTTGCCCTGTCCGGTTTGGCTCAGTGGATAGAACATTGGCCTGCTAACTGAAGGGTCCCAGGTTCGATTCTGGTCAAGGGCACATGCCCGAGTTTCGGGCTCAATCCCCAGTGGGGGCATGCAAGAAGCAGCTGATCAATGATTCTCTCTCATCATTAATGTTTCTATTTCTCTCTCCCTCTTCCTTCCTCTCTAAAAATCAATAAAAATTTATTAAAAAAAAAAAAAAGAAACACTTTCTCCAGGACAAACCATGCAGTCCTCTGTGATCATAGATCCCATCAAAAGATGACCAATGGCCCATGCAATAAATGCAGAAAGTGCAGTATCCAGATTAACAACAAATAAGCCTTGGGAGTGGGGAGCATCCATTGTGAGCAGGGGCAATTGGAGGTGAGTTTTGAAGATGAATGTGGATTTGCTGCTGAAGCAGAGGCAGAGGACACTCTGGGAGAACCACATCAGCAAAGACCCAGAAGTTTCCAAGGGTGGGGTTGGTGGCAACTTCTTCTAGAAGCTTCTATGAGCTCCATCAGGATATACTTCTCTGTGACATGCCAGGATATTACATAATGCATAACAAATATGCACTTGACCCATTTACCATCTAAACTGTAAACTCTCAGGGACACTGTCTATGGCTGGGAGGTGCCCAATGGAACTTGGTTAAATAAACAAATGAATAAGGACAAGATTTCTGTCTGTGTGTTCACTGCCAATCCTGGCAACTTAAAGTGTGCCTGGGACTTGTGGGTGTTGATATTTACCTATTGAATGAATGAAAAAATAAACAACATTACACTAGTTGTCTTTCCCATGCCTGTGCCCCTTGCCCCTATTGCCCGAGGGTGTGGGCTGGCAGAAAGCCCAGCCAAGATGCTGACTCAGGACTTACTGTTGACAAAAGATGGCAACAGCCTCCCAAAGCGCATGAGAGGTTCCTCGTTGAGCTCAGTGGACTTATCCACAAACTTGAAGAAGACATCACTTGGCTCGCTGGCGAAACTGAATACCTCCTTGATGTTGACCTTCCTGCCAATGCCCAGAATCACAAAGAAGTAGCCTTTGCACTTGGCCTGCAGGATGGCTCTCTGGGCCTCCTCCAGCTGTTGCTTCTGTACCTCCCCCGTCAGCATCAGAACCACAATTTTCTGGTCCCGTGGGTTAGGAGCATTTTCAAAGACATGATCTATGGTATAGTCAATGGCACGGCCCAAGGACCTGGACCCCTGCAGCTGTACCATCCTGTTGTCCAGGGCATCCATTAGCTTCTCCTTGGAGCCATAGTCAGTCAGGGAGAATTCCACTTTTACAGGTGGCACACTGGCATTGCCCATGGACTCATAGGGTGCATGCTGCACCACGGCCACTCGCGCAAAGTGCTGGGAAGCCTTGGGGTCGGGGCTCAGGTCCAGCTGTCTGACCAGGTACCCTATATACTTCTTCATCTCATTGAATTGGAACAGGGTGGTGGACTCAGAGCTGTCTAAGATGAAAGCCATGTCGATGTCCACATCGCTGCCCGCTGCTCGCCGGTCCCTGAAGGAAGGCCTCCAGCTGCCGAATCCACAGGATGGGTCGATGTTGCAGATGTCTAGAAAGAAGCATGGTAGCCATTTATAGTGTGACTTCACAGCAAGATATAACTAATCAATCTGCTGGGAGCCCGGCCAGCTGAAACTATCACAGAATATAGAAACCTATTTATATCTTGTCAATATTGCTGTGGCCAGATTCCCATTTTCATCATAGAATACTTACTAAATAAAAAAGTTAAATTCTGTTGGTATTCTGTGGCATTGGCGTTAAAAAGGAAGGAAGGAAGGAAGGAAGGAAGGAAGGAAGGAAGGAAGGAAGGAAGGAAGGAAGGAAGGAAGGAAGGAAAAAGAGAGGAGATGGGAGGGAAGAGGAGGAAAAGGGTAGGGAGGGGAGGGAAGGAAAGGAACCTTACTTTTTTGCCACTGTTTGAAGAAATGTACTCTAGAAAGTCCAAAGCCAGATAATTAAAAACTAGGCTCCAAGATCAAAATTGAAGTAGAACCCAGGTTCTCCTTCATTACTTATAAAATGAATCATTTTCCATCTAAGTGAAGCTCTATTTTGAGGTTCTACTTTAAACATGTAAACTACTATGTAGTGTCTACATGATAAATAACAGGCTCCATGAATCTTCATTTAACTCAAGCCCTTTACCCAAATGACAGGTATTTACTCAAATGTCCCTCCATGTACTGTATGGTCTGCAGTTGCAACTGGACAGATGTGCCTGTTGGAGAAGCATCTTACCCAAGCAAACGTGACAAGTCAAGACTTTCTTCAGGAAGTCTGTGAGGTCCCTCCTGGCAGGCAGGACCAGTGCATGTCCCACAGCTGTGTTATTGATCTGGTCAAAATAAAAGGAAACACTCAGTAGGAATGTTCAAAATCAGTAACTACTTACAAAATATAGCTGAACAATAAATTAGAGTCACACCAATAAAACAAACTTCCCAGAGGATCAGTATCTTCTCACTGTGTTAGAGGGGAGATTAGAAGAGGCACTGAGTTTAATAGAAAAACACAGGTTTTCTTCTGCTGAAATGAGCTCGAGTTTGAATCCCACTCCTGCACTTTTTGCCAGACCTGATTATTTAAGCTCTCCCAGGTTCAGTTTCCTTGGCTGTAAAATGGGATGATAGTAAATTCTCAACAGAATTATTTGAGGGATTAAGATTGGTAATGTATGTAAAACGCCTAGTCTAGCCTTTATCAATTAGTGGGGATTAAATAATATCATCATTTTCTACAATAATAACAACTGGGAAACACTAGCTCCATTCCTTCATCTCTCTCCCAAGTCTCGAAAGGGATTTAATGACAAAGCAGTGATTAAATCATTTCCAGAAGATTTTACAATTCCTGCCCACCACAGCACACCAACACTAATTGTTTATTTAGTAAATAATTAAGTTCAATCAACGAATGACTAATTCATTTTCAAACTTGCTGAACTATGTTGTTAGACACATGAGTGGTTCTGGTTTCTTCGGCCCACACAGCATACCCCTTACAAGAGCGCACGGCTGGTGGCCCAATCAGGATCCCATGCCTGGTGCTCTGAGCCCTAACTGGCCTGCAGTTTGGAGAATAAATCCTGAGAAATGGTGGCAATGACCCAGCTGCCTCTCGCTGACACAGGCAATGGGAAAACCATAGAATGTCCAGCTTGGAAGGACAAATGTTGGAGCCCGTCTCAACCCTGCCTCATCTTCTACAGGTAAGAAATCTAAGCTACAGAGAGGTGAAATGACGTGACCACATTACTTTAAGAGACCTAAAGCCAGATGCTGGGTAGACTGATAACAGAGCCAGGGCCTCCTCACTCCTGGTCCAACTCTCCCTTTGTGCCCACCATCCACCCCCTTGAACAGGAAGCCCAGAATTTACAATGAGAAAATAATCATCGATTAAGTATAACAAACAAGTTATTCAAACAAATGACAAGGGTGCCCTTTTCTGTGTCACAGCTGACTCTTGGGTGAATAAAGGTTTGAACAGCGGACTGGAGAGCTGGACTCACAAATGTCTGGGAACCTCACTAGGAGATGGAAGACCTCTAGGGTTACCCTGGGAGATTCCCCTCCAACAAGTGAGGAGGGAGCCTAGGGCCTGGTGCCTGAGCCAGAGGCTGTCCTAGAAACCCTACTAGAAAAGTTCTCTCAGCACACCAGCATCCTCCAGGACCTTCTAGAAACTCTGGGTCATGGATACTCCATGATGAGCAGGGGAATGTCTGAGAACCTTTGCAGAACCCAAGAAGGACAGCAGGAGGTATCACAGAGCAGCTGGGCACAGACCTGCAGAGCATTGACCAGCTGCCGGTCCTCCTGGCTGGTGAGGAACAAGGGCGTGATTCCAGCATCCGACAACTTCAGCACAGCCTCCCTGAGCTGTGGGGATGCCCTCGTGGGCTTATTGCTGAAGAAAATGGCCACTTTCCTCATCAGAAATCCATTCCTCACTCGCTTGAACGTGTTTCTGGCCACAAAGGACATGGCAGTCTCCAGGCTCTGCTGCTTGGACGTCAGAGCCACCTGCAGGTTCTTGATCCTGTCCAGGAGGACGGACTTCTTCTTGGAGTCGGCAAACCGGATCTCCGTGGTCACCTCGTTGTTATAGGTGACCACCGCCACGCGGGCCCCCCTTGGGCAGTTGCTCTCAGCAATGGTCAAGTCGCCCACGATTTTCAAGAGCACGTCCCTCATTCGGCTAAAGGCATCTTGGTTGACCCCCTCAGAGGTGTCCAAAGCAAAGGCCAGTTCTGTGGGGAACACGGGGCACTCCAGGGGCCCTGGAAAGGGAGAGGGTTTCAAAAGCAAACTTTACTTACTGGAAGAGGGGTCTTCTTTCCTCGAAGGAAGTCACACCACCAAAATGAACTTACCATAGCAGCAAGCTACAAGGGAAACAGAGAGAGGGAAAGTCACTTTACCATGTGAGAACTTCAAATGTCAAAATAAAAATGTACCCCTGACAGTAGGACGCCATGTACTTACGACATTTATCTTTGATGCTCTGGACAAGGGCACATTGCTTTAAAAGGGAGAAAAGAAGGTATAAGGACAGCAGACAAAAGACTCACAGACAATGACTTGTGCTGCATGCATACAACTTACATCGATCGAGTCGCCTCTGTTGCCTTTGTGACCCTGAAAAACAAGGAAGGAGAAGCTGATTGGGGGAAGGTAGGACACAGGGAACAATCTTCGGTTCACAAAAACAGAGAAAACAGAGGTGGGTCCTGAGCTGGTATGGCTTATTCTCAGACTCCCCTGTACACTAGACTTGACAGCTCAAAGGGCAAAGGGGAGGACAAAGAGTGTTCCCCCAGTGATGAGAATAGCTCCACAAATTCACATAAACAACACATTTGAGCTTGATTCCAACACCATCTCTCTGAGAGAAGGGCTTCCTTCCACCTGCTAGCCCAGTCCACCCTGTCCCTGGAAGAACAGCAGGGAGTCTCCTACCTGCCCATCACTCCAGGTCTAAAGCACCCACTGATTTCACTCAGGAAGGGACTCTCTGCTGCCCTCATCATCACATCCCAGCATGTGTTCCCCTGATGGCCAACCAGTCGCCTCATGGGCCACGTGGGCATTTCTCAATAAGGCTGTTCCTACTGGTTCATCCTCACAGTAACTGGCATATTGATCTTCCATTGAATGCTTTACTCACTGAACACCGAACTCAACCTTCTTCTCCGAGGTCCACCCAGGGTAATCCCTTCACCTTTAATCCCTTCACCTTTTTTCTAGGAGGACTTCCCATTCCTGAGTTATTGGTTCATTCTTCTTTGAACTTTATCAATGTCAATGTAAGGAGACAGGAGAGGGAGAATTCAAGTAAGGAAACAAGGAGATTGGTAATGAAGAGATTTTATGGAGGGGCCACAGACAGAGAGACACCTCCTGGCTCCTGGTGGCCAGGTGATAAATGGATTCTAACCATGAATCAGTAGCTCGATTGGGGGTTTTACAAAGGAAGCATTCCCTAAACCAAGGTCTGACATAATTATAGTCCTCCCACAAGGTGCAATCAAGAGCTAATATGGTGTGTTCTCTTTCTTTTGTTCCCTACACAAGCCTCAGACAAGGAAACTACACCCGGGAATCAGAGGCAAACAGCAGTATGCCCTGGACTGCAGAGTGCCACTGCTCAAGAGCTGTTTTCTTCATTGTGGTATCAGAAGCAAAGTGATTAAAAAGAAACAACAATAATAGCAAAGATGCAGACATTGTCTTTGTGAGAAGGAGATAGTAGAAAGTTTTCAGGAACCTCAAATAAGGCACCCACCCCACAGGCAACTTGATGGGAACCAGCAGGTACTTACTGATGATCCTGGATAGCCAGGGTCTCCCTTCTGTCCCACTGTCCCTGGAGGTCCTGAATTTCCCTGCCAGGGGTAGAAAAAACAGCATTCAGTTGTGGCAAAGGAAGGTACATCCACAGTTCCCACCGTTGGAAAGGGGGATTGAGGTGATCTAACCCAACGCCCCCATCACCACAGGAAAGCTCTCATTTTTAGGATTCCCGTGTCTCCAAGATTCAAATAGAAGGACAAGAGGCTTTCACAAAACTGTTATGCATCTCCCACAACTGTGCTCTCTGGGAGGTTAGGGAAGGCAGATGCTTACCTAAGAACCATAAATGAGACTGTCCAGGAATGCACAAGAAATCAGTAACTGATAATTAGATCACTGTTCGTGTAGACAACCAATTCAATGTTTATAAACCCCACCTTCATTTAAGCAGTAACTGATCTAATTTGACTGTCTTCACTGAGCAAATGAATAGGACAATTACGGTGAGTTTAACTATATTTTAAGCTAAAAATAACTTTAGAAACGTTTACCTGCATCTAGACCAAAATTGGTTCACTCAAGACTCAGTGCAATTCTAATGGGGTGAGTAAACATCTCCTGAAGAGAGGCAAGCAGAACCAAACACAGCTTCAGGAAGAAGAGTCCTATCGTGAAGGGAGGCAGGAGCATAGGGTGCTAGCCTGTCTTGCCTCTGAGCCCGGGACCTTTATAATCACAGCACACACTCCATGATATCCTGTTGCCTCACCATCTGGTGGGCAAGACCAAATGTGGGCACACGAACTCTGACATTACTAGTTCTGACAACTGAGTCCCCCTGGTGCCCTGCAGGGAAAGGACCATGGACTTATGACCCTTGAGATGTGTTAGAGGAAGGGGCTCTTGGGGTTTCCCCTAAAATGGGAAAACACAGCCATAGCCACAGATGGTCCTGAAAACATGGGCCTTCAACTTAGGATTCCTTTGCCCCCACCCCATGCTAGCACTGGCCAGGTTGCCAGTGACAAAGAAGAACTTTCACAGAAGTAGTGGAGGCATCAGGGTTTCACCACCCTCCCACATGTTCTCATTTCCATGGCAGCCATGGTCCAAGCAAACTTACCCTTCGACCTCTGATGCCTTTGGGTCCTGGTGCTCCCCCTGTTCCTGGGTTGCCGGGGATACCCTGGGAAGAGAGCCAGGAAGCAGTACATTAGCTCTGGAATGGAAGGTGTAGCCGGGGGTTCCTGGGGCATCTGGACCACTCTTCCTGGAGCAGCCAAAGGGTTGACTTTGCTTACTTTCCCACTGGGTTACTAGTGTATGTGTGTCTTGCAGATTTAGCCTTAGCTTGCTGAACAGTAATAATAACATCATGAAGATTCATCACTTTAAGGTCTACAAAGTATTTTATTTTCATTTAACCCTCAGAAGCACCATGACAAGTGTATACTATCATCTCCATTGGACAGATGAGGGACTTAGAGAGAATGGGGCCTTCCCAAGGTCACTCAGTCCATAAGTGGCTGACCCACAACTAAACCAAGATATTCTGATTTGCAGCCTGTGGACACACTAGACTCATCCCAAAGCAGGCAACATGTTACCACCAGGGAAATATTTACCTTTGGACCTGGGTATCCAGGAAATCCTCTTTCTCCCTATAAAAGATATATAAATGACTCAATATTTGGTCTCAATTTAAATTCATCTAAAATAAATTATTCTTGAGCAGAAAAAAAATACATACATCTATAGAGTCATCAAGAAAAAAAATTCACTATATCACAATAAATTTTTGAGAAAGGGTTTTGTACAAATACAATATATCAGATGTACATACTTTTTTGCCTTTGCGCCCTTCACTGCCAATCCCATCTCGACCATCATCTCCCTAGTTGTGAAAAGACAAAGTTATTGCAGGTCACCACATTGGGCACGTTGCACCCACCTCTGTCTAAAGCCCTGAGCAGGGTCCTTGAGTTCCTGAAATGTTCCCAGATCGAGGTATAGCTTAAGGCAGTGTTCCTGTTCCAGGTGTGAACAAGACCATGTCTGTAAGAGGCTGGGCATAAAGCACTCCTGTGGCAAATGGTACTGGTGGGCCCACCTATTTAAAGATCCACTTTGGCTGTTGGTAAAGATACTGCTTGCAGGTGGAATCAAAGACTCATTGAACCTGGGAATCTTAAAATTAAAAGGACTCTTGGAGGTCACCTTGACTCTGTGCATCTATGAGTCTTCGATTCAACTTCAACGCAAAAATGCGGGACACACTCTCCCATATCTTCCTGAGTCGTCTGTGCTCAGACCTTTCTCCCCCCACCCTCACCCCTCCCCACCCCCAATCGCCAGCCGCCAGCCCTGCATCCTTCCCCTACATAGATCTTCCCATTAGATTATCTTCTTTCCAAACACCTTCTCCCCAGATTCTCACACCTGTCCCTGTCACCTTCTCATAGGGGCTTTTGGAACTGCACACAATTACTTCACTCAGAAGAAGTTATGTAAAACATGCATCAATATCTCTGAAACATGCATGGAACATGCTACTGAATTAATTTACAGCTTCAAATGGATATCAACAGTGAAAGAGCCATTGCCCTCAAATTTATAGAAACAGAATCAGAAAGATATTTTCTTTGATAGTTTGAATGGATTTTAAGTTTGACTTTTTCCCCTCTGCTTCTGAAACTAAGAGGAACAGACTGGATTTTTTTTTTTAATTTCAGTCTCTGTAGAGAAGTTATATTCACAAGGGAAATATCTTAAAGCTTTAGGATCATAAAACAGATCAACCTGGTCAGTTCTTCTAGTTTTTATGTATACTGGCTTATTTTAGAAAAATTACCAACATTCTGCAGATTTCTTTTTCTTGCATAGAAAGATATCCTACAAGATCATTTTAAATAACAATTTTTAAGTGAGCTATCAAGGTAGCGATTTCTATTCCTGGGATGTCTCATTCAAAAGGAACTGTTTCGAGCTGGCTTAAGACCTTATCAAACCCAATTCCATTTGAACCCAAGGACATGTATTTCTTTGCAGAAAAGCTCCACGTGGAAGTGCTCACAAAGCGTCCATGAGCCTGAAGATGAAGGCGGTTCAAGCTTTAGTGAACAGCACGTTTACCCCAAAAACGTCAGAAGAAACATCTTTACCCTCCAATGAAACAAACCTTATTTGACATTTATTTGCTGGTCAAACCTTATTTGACATTTATTTTCAATCACATCCCCAATGACAGGAGAAACAACTACTGAGTTACCTCTGTTTGGTGTGAAACTAATCTGCACTGGCAAAGGCTAGCCCAGCACAAGCCCCACATCCCGCTTCCTGGGCATTTCAGCAAAGAGCCACAACAGCACAGAGTATGTTGATCTTACCGTCTCCCCTCGGGGACCCCGGTTCCCGATTCCTCCCTTTGGTCCTGGATCTCCGGGCTCGCCCTGAACATGAGAGAGAAAGCTGAGACACCTGAGGACCCAAGCCCATTTGAAATGAGAGTCCAAGCCCCAGCGTTCTAGGTGACGCCACTGCCAACCTCAACTTTTGGATTTTTATAAAAGTGATGTCTTCAGTGGCAACGTTCATGTGTGGACTCCTATAGGAGAATCGGGGACGCAGGTGTGTAGTCTTTTCAGGATCATGGCATGGGGACATGCTGACAAAGAGAGAGAAGGGGTCGGGGAGGAAAGAAGACGCAGGGAAACCCAACACCAACAAAAGGCAGAAAAAAGACTCTGGACTTGAATGAACACATTTCTTTTGCTGAGAAGATGCTGACCTTTCAACATTTTAACTGGTTATGTTAAATTATGGTTTTTTTCATGGTTTGTAGAAAACAGGTTCTCAGATAGTCAGGGCTCTTAGATTAGCTAAACATGCCCAGCAGAGCAACCATGTGGACCACTAGTAGTCAAACAAAGTGTGTTCAGAAAGTCTGGTGCTGTGCTATGTGCTCCCTGCCCCCCACCCCGTTTTGATGGCCCCGAGATGCTGAACTGTGGCCATGGTTCACAGCAGGAGCAGACCAGACATCCACAGCTGTTGGCAAGTCCCGGCTCCCAGAAAGCCAGCCCACTGAGCATGAGCCACATCTTCCCTTGTGGTGGGACAGGGGCCCCACTGGCCAAGCGGCTCTCAACTGGGAGGCTGACTGGGAAAGACCAGATGGGAGGGGAAGGGATGTGTAAAAGAAGCAGGTAGACAGGCTGGCAAATGAGGGAAAGGTTGCCTGGGGGGCTGGCCTGGCCTGGCCTCTGGAAACTCGCTCTGCAGACAAACCTTTCTTCCCAGGGGACCAGTTCTTCCACGCTCTCCCGGAGCACCTGCGGTCCCTCCACTCCCCTGCAGTGGGAGAAGGAGAGTGTCAGTAAAATATTCGCCTTCCAAGCTTGAGAGTCTGAATCCCACCTCTCCCTCAGGCCCCAGGGGTCAGAGCCCCAGTACTTAGTGCCACCCACGGTGCTGGAGACACAACTACAAACACACATGACTTGTGCAACCCACAGTATTAGTGTGAGCCTAGGGGCAGTTTGCACAAACACCCACACGGTGCAGTTTTCCACATACATTCATTCATGTCCTGAGTCCCTGACTGGAGGACAAGCACCCAGATTTTATGTGGCTTTTATCCTTCTGCCTGTCCACACCTCCACAAGGACACCTGCTTATACAGGTGTGAAGACCTGCGCACACTAATCCGTTGAGTGAAGGAAGGAATCAGTGTTTCTTCATGTGGCACAGCCAGGTGAACACAGGAATGACCCCCACAAATATGGCAGAAACCAGCTCTCGGTTATCAGTAATTATTGCACGAGCTTTGCCTCATCCTTATTTTGTCTTAGGTTCTTGATTAATAAGAGCTAAAATAAATATGGGGGGAAAACTAAAAGCTTTCAAAACGGGTGTCAGGTTTTGAAGTGGAGAGGACTTTCTAAGTACACAACGGCTCTCGCCAAGGTCCTGTTTCAACGGCAAAGCACATCTGTGCCCTGAGGGAGCCCAGGCTGATTCACTGCCAGGTTTCAGTCACTACTCTTTTCTGTAACAAATGGTAGGGTGGCTCCCCCAGTGTCCTATCGCACACCAGAGACAGCAGGTGTGTAGGACACCTGGTCCCAGCTCGGCTGTAGGTACACGTCCACCCATTGTCACTAACAGCTGAGAAGATGAATTCTGCAATCACAGCAGGTTTAAGGAACATCTTCTGGGCTGAACTGGAGGATGGCGAACACCAGCCACAAAATAGCGAACCTCAGAGCCAATCTCCAGGGGCGATTATGAAACCATTTGTCATAATCTGAGCATTTCGGTGGATTAGGTTACATTTATGTAGTCTCACGCTGAGACCTCGGGGACAGGCACATCCTGCCTCACTGACCCCAGCTGACCTGGGAAGGAGTGGCCTTGAGGCCTAGCTGCCTCTGGGTCACCAAAGAAACAGGGTTCTTATTTCCTCACATACACTGGCTGTGAGGACTGAGGTCAACCCAGTCCTGTCTCCAGAACACAACTCCTCACCTTGAATGTCACAAAAGAGTCAGGCCAAAAGGAACATCTGTCCTCAGCAACACCCCTCTCCCCACAATCTCAGCCTGCTCAGACCCTGTACAGTCCGCTTAGCCTCACAGAGGGATAGGCTGAGATGCACTTACCCGAGGGCCAGGAATGCCCTGTTCTCCCATCAGGCCTGGAGGGCCGGTGGGACCAGCTGGACCCTGAAAGAGGAAAAGGCCAAGGTCAGTGCTGTGTTGAGGAGACACTCCAGGAGGAAGCTCAAATGACCTCTGTACTTTCTCTGGAGCCCAGAGCCCAGAGCCTCACTCCCACTGCCAAGGAGGCCCCAGAGACCACATTGTATCTCCACTGTAGGAGCAGCAGCAGCAGCCCAGAGCATGAATGTGTTTTAAAAACACAAATGTGTACGTGACATTCACGGCAGCAATATTCACAGTCTCTAAAAGGTGGAAACTACCCATGTCCATCAACCAATGAGCAGAGAAGTAAGTTGTGGTCTATCCATGTAATGGAATATTATTCGGGCATGAAAAGGAGTGGAGCCCTGTGACATTCTTTAACCTGGGGAACCTAAAAAACGTTATGCTCAGTGAGAAAAGCTGGACACAAAAGACCACCTATTCATGTACATGAGATGTCAAGAATAGGCAAATCCATAGAGACAGAAAAGAAACGAGGAAACGAGGCCACAAGGAGCTGGGAATGAGGAGGTGAGGGGAGATGGGGGTGACTATGTAACAGGTACCATGAGGGTCTCCTTTGGGGGTGATGAAAATGCTTTGAAACTAGATGGAGGTGATGCTTGTACAACATTATGACTGTACTAACCCCCCCCCCTGAATTGTTCACTGTAAATGATGAATTTTGTGTTCAATTTTGCAAAATTGTCACCTTGATTTAAATTAAAAAAAAATACAAGAGCATCTGGGGAAATAGCAAAGGGCATGCAATGTCCCTGGGTACCAACCTGTGCACCTCTGGTCCCCTGCTCTCCTGCAGAGCCTGGCTGGCCTGGACCACCTTTGTTGCCCTTAAAAGAAGAAAGAGAAGATTCAGGGTAGGGTCAGCATAGTTTATACCAATGTCAGCTCTCTGTTCCAAAGTCCCATCTGGGTGAGGGGACAGGGCCATGATCCCAACTCTACAAGCAGCTTCAAAGCCACTGACCCCATCACTGTAGCTTGAAATAGTCAACATGTGGTGCCAGCTGCCCCTCTGCACTGTCACAACTATTTCCACTCTCGCCTCACCTTCTCTGCAAGATGGCTTTGGGAAATAAGGATGCTTTGCAACCTAATCCTGTATAGCACAGGTGAGAAGACTAAGACACAGAGACGTTGTGACTTGCTAACGACTGGATAAGTAAACAAGATGCCTAGGAATTGCCTCCTCCATCTCTCTTTTTCCCTTCATTCCCCCCCCCAAAAAAAACCTGCCCCCACTGTCAATCATTGTCACAAGTTCATTAGAAGAGGCCAAATTTAAAGGGCTAGAGAAAGGTGGTAGCTGCTGGTTGAGCTGCAGGCTTTGATAGGTTTTAGCTCGTGGGTGGGAGGTGAACAGGAGGACAGTCTGTGAGAGCACACGGTGAGTTACATTGTGCTGATGGAGAAGAGGAGCCAGCTTACCTTAGCTCCTGCTGGTCCCCTTCGACCATAGCCGCCCTGCAGGAGAAGTCACACACCATTAGGGGAAACGGGACAGAGCCCGGGCTTTGCCCGACTTAACCCACACATTCATCTGCCACCCACTGTGTGCCTGGCCCTGTCAGCCCCAAGGAAACTCCTTCCTGCCTCATCTCAGTCAAGCTTTGCCTCCATGCTGCCCTGTTAGTCACCCAAGTGAAAGTTTTAAGAATTATTTCAGACCCGCCAAGCAAAATAATGACTCCTGGCTGCAGGGCCCCAGCCAATTTCAAATAAGGAATGTGAAAGGGGAACGTCAAGCTGTCTGTTTTTCTACCATTTTTCCAACTGTCAGGAGAAGTCATCATAATACGTTAATTATCATGGAAGGGAGTCCCAGACTCTCCAAGTCCTGCTGGCCAAGTATAACAGATCCTCTGGTAGGTGAGCAGCCAAAGGCACATGCGTGAACCTGTGAGCCCAAGGGTGCTTAGCTTGGGCTCATGTCTCGGGAACATCTGTGTCTATGCTCCAGGGGTGACCCCCAGTCCAAATAAATGTGGGCTCACTGTGTAAGTAATCTGCTAACCCCCCCGTTGGGATTGCTTCCTCTGTGGTGAGGAGGTTTGGGATGGGAACATGGGAATGTCCTGGATAAATCTTTGCAAGGTGAGGAGTTGTGTTCTAGAGACAGTAACAACCGGTAGTTACTGGGCTTGACCGATTGCTGCATCACCCAAAGACCACAGTCTCCACTCCCAACAGGACATCCGAGGGATCTTCTTGTGGTTGTTGTTTTGTTTTGTTTTTTAATTCATTTTTGCTATTATTCACTGTTGTGGCAGCTTCTTTAATGGAAGACTTGGGCCTCCTTCCATGAACAACATATGGACAAGTCAGGGGCCAGGTTAACTCTGCAGAGTAGCAATCTGGCTGGCCCCTCCCAAAGGGGACAGCCTAGAGTACGTCAGAGGCCACCAGTGCTCAATGATTCATTGCTCAGGCCAGAGGCAGCCTGTGGAAGCCCTGGGGGTTGGGGGGGGGTGTGATGTGAAGAACAAGGTGGCCCCACAGAAGAATGTGCTTTGTATGGACCTGGGCCTGACACAGTAAGGTCCCAGGGAAGGAGGAGGCCACACTGCCAGGCCTCACCCTGCTGCAAAGGAAGCAACTGAGTCCATAAGAGCCCTTGACTGTATCAGATTCAAACCCAAGGGTCCACCTGTGCATAGAATGAAAACGAACTGTTTACATGACTGTCAGTCACGAAAACCAGTTTTGGTCCTACTCACCAGCAGTTACATGGCACATTATAACAATTGGTTAGCTCCTCTTTGCTTTTTCATTATATAGCTCAGCAGCATTATTCAAAAATAATACTCAGAACTATTAAGAGAGCATTTTCAGATATTAAGTCTTCTGAATTTTAAAAGCGAAATTATGCCCACAGCATGTCATCTGACTATGGATGATAGTAATTTCTTCTGAAAGCCCTCACGTCACATGCTCTCTCAAACCATTCAATGGCTCAGCCCTTAAAACATTGCTGCCACCTGGAACCGGCTGCACAGCCCCAGCTAGTCTCTGAGCAGAGATATGGCTGGGCACCCACAGCATCCTGAATGGGCCCCTGAGGATTACAAATCCCAAACACTCCTCTGCATACAGGAACCATCTTCTCCCACCTTAAGCTCTGCGTACCCCTTGGCCCTAGAAGTTTCCAAACTACTTAGTGTCCTTTTGGCTTTAGGTAGGAACTCATCAACAAGACACAAAGTAGCATGCAATGAGCAACTGCAGCTCACATTTCTGATGTGTTTAAGAAGCCACTGCGAGCCTGGCCAGTGTGGTTCAGTGGTTGAGTATCAACCTATGAACCAGGAGGTCACACAGTTCGATTCCCAATCAGATACATGCCCAGGTTTCAGGCTCCCTCCCCAATATGGTATGTGAAGGAGGCAGCTGATCAATGATGCTCATTATTGATGTTTCTATCTCTTCCTCTCTCTTCCTCTCTAAAATCAATAAAATAGATGTATTTTTAAAAGCCATTGTAAGATGCAATTCTCTAGAAAAAAGAGTCTAGTTTCATTGATTGGGTTCCAGCAGAACACACACACACACACACACACATACGCACCATCATACACACCATCACACACAAACAGTTATAAAACCAATAAGCATATGACCCCGTCAGCCTTCCTGCCCTCATTCCCTCATTCCTCCCAGATTCATGCTTCATTTGGATCTTTTAAATATTTAGTGGGATAAAACCTGGCCAAATTTCCTAAAGCAGTAAAGATAATATTTTTAAAGCATCTGTTCAGTGTGTTTTCTGGGCTAGGAAAGAAGCAGGTCTTGGGGAGGGAGAAGAGATGGAGTATAGAACTAAGATAAGAATGAAAGATTTCTCTAAGTGGCATGATTTGGATGACAATAGTTTCAGAAATTTCTTAATAAGAAGTAAGGCAGGGTTTGGGGGATTAGGATCTAGGTGGCACTTTAATATCAGGGAGCCCATAGCCCTCAAAGACACTCACATCCTTGCCAGGATCTCCAGGCCTTCCAATCTCGCCATCTCTCCCAGGGAGGCCCTGGTGTGGGAGAGAAAATGGCGTGAGATTCTCCTCTGCAGAGAAGAGCATCAAATGCGGCAATATTGTTCAAGACACCGTGGGAAACGGTATTAATACACAGAGGGGGTCACCCAAATAACTTTGTGGGTGCATCATGCTCAGACACATTCCAACAGCACAAGGCTCTGGCTTGAAAAGCACTTTCTGTGAACATCTGGCGGGTTGGAGGGCCTCTTGGAAGGGTTGTTCCATTTCCCAGTGGAGACTTCCTTCACGGGGACACACATGGGCTCTGGGAACCCTCTGCTCCCAACCTGTTAGGTCTACAGCCTGAAAAGCCACTTCCATGGCCTCCAGGCTAGGGACGGCCCCATGTGGGTTTTGTGTCTTGGCCCCCAGCACAGGGAGTCGAGGAACGTGGAGCATCATACCATGGGCCCAATGTCTCCGGTTTCTCCTTTGGGTCCTCTCTGCTGGCTGTCCCGTCCTGAGTCACCCTGGAAACAACACAGGTTGGGGGAATGAGCCTTATGGGCAGGAAAAGACACCCTAAGTTTGCTTTAGGAAAAGAAAAATGTTTGTAGCTCATCTTTGATTCTGTAAGTGCAAGCAAATGACCATCTCTGGGCCAGGCTTCTGTCCTCCCAGACAGGTCTAGGCAAGAGGGCCATAGGCCCCATCTTCCCTAGAGCTAAGAATGATTGGCCGATCCACAGTCAGGGCCAGGGAGGGTGGGATACATGTTGTCTGAACGGGATGCATCTAGTGGGGCTGGTGCAGAGTCTTGCATTCATGTTCTCACTCATATTTTTTTGACCACCCAGTCCAGCTCAATTAAAGAAACCTGAGACCACATTTTAGGGAAATCCTCATGTCTTCCCAGGACAGGTCTTGCAAACACTTATCTCCACAGCCAGACTGCAAACATGTCCCCAACAACCCCAAAAGTGAGGGGAAATGACAAACCACATTTTTTATCAACAAGTTTTAAAGCAGCATCAAAAGTAAAATTCCCCCTTTCAACCTTCTGTTCCCACAGCCCTCTTCCCCAGACTCAGGGCTTAAATTGTCCGTGAGGAATTCTTACCGGGTCCCCCCGAATTCCAGCATCTCCTCGTTCTCCTCTGTCCCCTTTAGGTCCTTTGTCACCCTAACAAAAAACACATGTGGAGCTTAATCATTAAATAGAATTACACATTTTTGTCTCATCCTTAAAACCCCGTTCTTCAACTCATAGGTTTTAAAAGGACCAATGTCAAGCATTTACTCATTTGGCCATGAAGGTAAAATTACTTCCAAATATTTATTATTTGTTCAGATAATCCACAAATATTTATTAGGGACCCCCTCTGTGCAGACACTGGGATTTATTTGCAACAAAACAAACTCAGTCCCTGCCCTGTGAGACACAGTCTCCAAACAGGACAATATAATGTAATCTGTCACAGCTGCCAGGGACACAGGGATGTCAAGGAGGCAGCCCCAGAGGAGGTCAGGGGAGGTCTCAGAGGAAGTGGTCTTCACATACATCAGTGAGAGACATAGTCCCTTCATCCCAGCAGCCGTGGAAATGCACCTACCCTTCTCCCGGGATTCCCTTTCTCGCCAGAAGAACCAGGCACACCTTTGTCTCCCTGCCAAAGACAACAACAGCATGTCATTTCTGGCACAGAGGCTTCCAGAGGCTGAGTACAGTCCCTGGAATCTTCAGGACCAAAGCTGCTAGGACTTAGAGCACAAAGTCACTCACATCTTCCCCGTCGAGACCATCCAGTCCGATTTCCCCCAATTCACCCTGCGAGGGGACAAGACACACAGGTGAGTGTGGATGGCCTTCAGACAAAGAAGAAATGAGAAATGCTGGGAACGTTTTCAATAGAAAAAGGAAAACAAGCTGAGTACCTTCTCTCCTGGGAATCCTCGAGAGCCCTGGAAAGTAAGGGAAGAAGATACATTAGGTCCTTTTGGAGGCTGGTCCCTGAGCCACAGGATAGGGCTGCCCCAACCCCAGTGAAGGCCATCTTGGCTGAAAATTCACTATTGGGGATTTATTTGTTTGGGTTATCCTCTCACCATTGCACAGAGGTCATAAAGCTAATTTTCCTGGACCTGGGCACTGGTTGGTTTGGCTCCCTGGTCAGGGGAGTGGTCCTTGAGAGCCAGGAACCAGGAGGCCCCTCTGTGACTTTGCAGTCTGGTGACCTTCCCTTCAGCACCCACTCTTAAACTTCAGCAAATGGAGAAGAAAGTTGATCAGCCTTGAATATAAGTATTTCATGCAAAGGACTGGCAAGTGCAGTGATCTCTCCTTTCTTTTGCTGCCCCATCTCCCGGGCTCCTCCCGGAATCCCAGCTGAAACCACGGGCACTGGCCTTCTCCCTGTTCTGGCCCACATCCTGTCTGTCCTCGTGATGGTTTTCTGGCGGCTGCCTGTTTCCATAGGAAACTCTTTCTGCATTCCCAGGCTCCCTTCCCAGTGCAGCCTGTGCTCTGCACCACCAGACTGTGGGCTGTCTTCCCAGGAGAGGCCCCAGTGGCTGGATGCTGAGAGCAGAGAGACCCAAGCACCATCCTCCTCCTGGCACGTGGAGAAACTGTCCACTTTTGTACATACTGCTGACCCTCCCACCCCCAGACAGGCCAATGCTGTGGTCCCCACACACACACACACACACTGTACCTTTATTCCTCTCTGGCCAGGACAGCCCTGGAAACCTTGAGTGCCGTTCACACCAGGAGGACCACGTTCACCCTGTCAAGGGAAACAAAGGTTTTGGTCATCACATCTCCAATGGGTCCACAGCTCGGTGAAAGCCCTGCCTTCGAAGCAGATTTGCTGCCAGGAATGCTGCCTGAGCAGAGGGATCCCAGCCTTCCCGCCCCCCAGGCCCTGTGCACAGCTGCCCTGGAGGAAGGGGGCCTCTGGGCACCATTTTTGGGTGGGACCTGGGCCCCCTTAGACAATGCTTGCCCCGACTGCCTCTCTGTATGGCCCCAGCTCCTGACTTGCCAATGAGGCTGTTCCCAGCCCTGACTCTGGCACTGGGAGTCCCCATGACCTCACCTGCTCTCTTTAACTCCAGGGCTGGGCATTCTTCTAGGGTCTCAAAGCCTCTGGAACCATGTTTGTCCCTGTATCATTTCCCAAAGGCTCTGTACATCCTCAACTGGCCCCTGAGGCTATGGCCCATCCAAACCTTCTCTGAGAGACTTCCCCTAAAGGGCATCGACCTGATTACAGCCTGATTAGGGCCCTCCTGTCCCCTGCTCCCACTCACTCCCATCTCTGCTTGAGTATTGGAGCTTAGCAGACTTTGAATATGCCAGACCCGGTGGCTCTCTGCCTTAGAGGCACTACCCCTCCCTGAGGAATGGAAGGAGTGGAAGCCCGCGCTCCGTAGCCACTGTTGTCATGCTTGGGCCATCACGCTATTTCCATCATGTAGAAATCTGAGTAAAGATGCTAAGGAAGTTAGAAATTAATGTCTTCCCAGTGGGATAACCAAACAGATTGTGAACTCTGAAATTCAACCCCTACAAGGGGCAAGGAGGGAATAACAATTTCAGGAATAAAACAACTTCACTTACGGGTCCACCTTCGTCACCAGGATAACCTCGGTAGCCATCTTCTCCAGAAATACCCTAAAACAAAGTACATAGGTTCCTAGGTTAAATCTCTGAGTTTTGAAGGGGTCTGTTCTGTATGTAAGCATCTCCCTGATCCCCACCCCCTCCTCTCAGTAGAGTAGTGCTAAAATTCAGCATGGCTTTAGGTGCTCCCCTGAGCGTCACAGTTCTCTACACATTATTTCAGTGAAATTATTCTTTCTAGCAGGATCTTTAAGGCACCCAGAAATCCTGTCTATTTCCTGTAACTGAGGCAGATCCTGAGCATCCCCGCTGACCATCCACAGGGAGTCTGCTCATCAGATCTTCTGGGGCCCACTCCCCTCCCCATTCCCATCTCTAGCCAAGGTGAGGATGGACTTCTGAATTCCAGCCTCAAGTGTAAGAAAAGGACAAAGCTGCTACACCTTTGGCCCGATGCTGCCGATGGGTCCTCTGTCTCCTCTTTGTCCAGAGCATTTGCAGGGCACCCCACAGCAAGCTTTCTCAGCGATGTTGTCCTGCCAAAAAATAATGAAAAAGTTCAAGTCTCAATAAGCCTCCAAAGAAAACATAGATGTTCCCTGAAGGTAAGATCTAATATGGATTCCATGATCAGATAAAGGCACTCCCACACAACGCTCACTCACCCACCAGCTTAGTGGTTTAACCATCACATCACGATAGGGGAGGAAAGTCACCAGTAGGAGACTGAAGAGCAACCAAAGTAGAATAAACCTCATTCGCAATGTCACCTCAGGCTGGGCCTTATTTCTAGAAGGTTCTGACATACATATTCAAGTTTCAAATAGAAAGCATAACTTATGTATTTTTAAGCTCCAAGGAGCAAAATAAATGAATTGCAGATGGTCAGGTGAGAAGGTGGTTCCAAAATGAAGATCCATATGCTCTTCCTCAGAACCATGGTCAGGGCCATGGACTAAGGCGCCAGCCTGGAGGAGGCCTGAGGGCAGCCTTGTGTGGGCAGACACAGGCAGTGCTGCCTCTAGCCACAAGCACGTGACTCTGGGTCACCAGCGCCTCTGTGGCCCATCGCACACCATGGATGCCCCTTCCCACCCCAGGCCTGGACTTCACAGGTGAAGTGCAGACCCAAAATACATGTCCATCTGCTAAACCCATGGTGGTCAAATGTGCTTCTGACAATGAGCTTCCTAGTTTTCATTGTCTCCCACATCCCAGACTCATCCCCTAACTCAACGTCTTCCCACCAGTTTTCAAAAATCCTAATTCCTGTGCTGGAAAGAAGACAGAGAGAGGGAGGGTAGAGTCCATGCCTCCCACGTCCCACTGCTGCCACCACCAAAGGACCTCAGGGTCAACCACTCAGCCCACATCTCCCAAGGGCCCCACCTGCACTCCCAAGTCTCCAGCTGAGAGAGGCTGACCTCCTGAGGGTGAGGGAGTCCCAATGGCACCCTCATTTGCTCCACAGGAAATTGGAAGGGAAGGCAATCAAAGCACTTCTCTGCCCAAAAGTGATCCTTCTTTCCTGCACATTCTTGTTTCATCATGCAGGCTTTCTGAGGACACTTTCTGTTTTGGAGCAGGCAATCCCAACCTTTTGCCTTCTCAACAATTAGGCATGAAAATTTTCAGGAAAGGGAGCCTAGGAAATGCCAAGGCAGCAACATCACACACCTGGGGACCTGTGGCTCAGCTCACTGCCTCTCCAGCTCCCGAGTATCTCTAATTCCAGGACTCATATGTGTTATGGCAACAAGGCAGGTCTCAAGCGTATTTAATGGGTTAAATCACCCACCCAGAAGCCCATCTCCCTGACTTCATTGTCTTGAGAAGCCAAACACTGTGGCATCTGCACTGATCTCACCAGCTGCTCCGCGAGCTCGTAGTCCAGGTCCAGCAAGTTGAGCCTCAGGGGTCTGTTGTACATGAACCCTCGCCCGAACTCCAGATGCATCAGCTGCTCCAGGTTGGCCACACGCTCCAGGCCCACCAAGATCAGGGCTCGGACACCTGCGAGGATGGGCACATTTCCAAGGGCTTGCTGAAGCACTGAGAGCCACAACATCTTTGGGGGGGGGGGGTGTTGTTTTGTTTGTTTGTTTGTTTGTTTGTTTAAGAAAACTTCAGTATGTAATTTGGCCTGTAACTGAAACATGTTTAATCAAGCTAGTCAACCACTCTGAAGTGCTTGGAACTCCTCAGAGCAATGGTCTCAAATGTGTCAGTAAGTCAACTAACTGGTTAATATAAATACAAGAAGCGACACCATGAAGTGTATGCATAAATTCTCAAACTCTGGTCCTACCTCACACAGGTATACTGTGGAAAAAATTAAAGTGCCACATCTCTAAAATCAGGTAAGAGCAATCATCTCCATGGCTGGGGGGGGGGGGGGGGAACAATACACAAAATGTTCTTATGATAATGTATGCTTCATAAGTCCTTCTTAACCCTCTGGTGTGGACACCCACTTTTTGATAGTCAGAGCTACCAAAGTCCAAAGCTGTGGACAGACAAATATTACCTCTGTTAACAGACACCACAGCTTATCCAGTCACCCTAACTTGGAAAGTATCCTGCTATTACTTTATATTAAAGTATGTGTTTACTTCATGCTGTAGTCTTGTTGAGCTCTAATAACTGCAAACTGCTACAAAATTAATCCCTAGTTTATGGGATGTGGCTAAACGAAGCAAATCTTCACGTTCTTTTGCAATATCACCATGCTTTCTAGATGTTGCACCACCTGAATGAGTCTGAGAACCTGTGGGACCCAGGCCAGCACTTGTCTGTGGTATCCTTGGTAGCCCCTTCCCATAGCCCCAGACAGGCAACTGAGAGCCAAGATGACGAGGAGGAGCTTGCCCCAAGGACACTGTAGAGCAGAGCAGTGTGTCTGCCTCCCCCACATCTCCACTTCCCATTTAGAAAGCCCTGGAATCTACCTTCTTGTCGAAGTTCCTCCGATGCCTTTTGTAAATCAGCCATATCTCCGTCCACCCCATCAGTAAAATGAATGACCACCTGAAATTAAAAAGAAGCATCACAGAGCCTGGTAAGGGAGCTTAGCCAGTTCAAGCCCCTCATCTTACAGTTGAGAAAACTATGAGGGCCAACTACTCCATGTTCGTAGCTCTTTGCTCTTGTGCAGTTAGATAGGTGGAAAGTGAAGGAATTGCAGTACTTGATTTATTCAAAACACAAGCAGCAATGAAAATAAGAGCAGTTATCTCACTCTCTTAGTATTATAATGTCTTTTCTGGAAATCACGTGTGTGTGTGTGTGTGTGTGTGTGTGTGTGTGTGTTGAATACAGGCACTAGCAACCCATCAAATGTGAAGAGTGTTTAGGGCACACTCCTGACCAGGAAAGTCTAAAAATGGCACAAGAAGCTGAACACGGGCCCTGCTCACCTTCACACTGTCGGGTGAGGACTGCCTGAACTTGTTCTGATAGGCCTTCAGTGTGTCTGCAGTGAGGACATAGGGGTGCTGGCTGCGCATGTTCCGGAACTTCTCAAACAGCTCTGGCTCGTACTCGGCAAAGTCGAAGGCCTCCACAGGGCCCGATGGTGTGTTGGCCACCACAGACACCCGCACGGTGGGCATCTGGCCACCACTGCAGCTGAGTCTTTGCATCTGGCTGATTCTATTCAGGATGATGTCCACCTTAGACTCGAGGCCTTTCTGAGTTACAAAGACATTCTGATCTCTTGAACCATCAAACCCCAGAACCACATCCAGATTGCAGGCTGTAAAGGGAAAAAGCAGGCAATGAGCTCTAAGAGGGACTGCCCAGGTGAGTTCAAGGTATAGGCACAGGACATGGGCCAGACGTCATGCTCAAGGGCAAAATGAAATCTTCTATGGATGAGCTTTGAGAAGAAATTAGACCAGCCTGTCTCACAGGGAACACCAGTGCTGACTGTTAGGAACAGAATGGTAGGCCATTTTAGTCTGTTGCTTTTTTCATGATAATAATCAATTTTGCCATGACATTTAGTTGCTGTTTACATGCCTCCCAAGTTCCCTAACATGAGATCTCAAATACTCTGGTCTCACATAATTGATATAATAAGCCTACAAACAGAAACAAGAACCATCTGAATTATTTGGGGGATTAAAGAATAAGGAGAAAAGGTAAATCTTAAAAGGGCATGAAAAGCAGGCTTCCATTCATTGAAGAACATCTGAGACCTGGCTAGGTGCCACTAGGACCCAATCTTCAGGGAGATGAGGAAATGCCCGAAGTAAACAATGCTTAAGGAAGACACAGGCCAGTGCTGGGGACCTAGGTCACTAAGTCACATCAACAAGACGGGATGGAAAATCTGCTCAGGAAAAGGTTTACCTTTGGAAACATCCGTCACCCCCGGACATAAGATCTCATTCATGGCATCATCCAGAGTTTCCAACACCTGCTCCTTCAACTCCGACAGCTCCTGGATGTTCCCTACACGGAAGGCTGTGGCGCTGTTGGATGCAATTTTCCCAACCTCCACTGAGTCGATGTTTCCCAAGCCCACCGCAAACACTTTGACACCTCTCTGGGTGAGTGCCAGGCTCGCCTCCTGAGCATCCTCAGTGGACTTCCCGCCGGTGATCACAAATGCAATCTGAGGAACCCGCTGATCCAGGCGGCTGCCCGCGACTGGCACGAAGTGATTCAGCCGCAGGTGATCAATGCCCACCTTGGTGTTCGCGTGCCTCCCCCCTTTGTAGATCACCTTGTTGATGGCATCGATAATCTGCTGCTTGGTGGAGTACTCCCTCAGGAAGAACTCGTCAGTGGGGCCGGAGTTGTACTGTACCAGCCCCACCTGGATGGAGTCTCCTTGTCCATAAACTGTATCCACGATCTCAGACACAAAGTGGAGCACCTCCTGGAAGCTTCTCTTCTGGAAGTTGATGGAGCCATCCAACAGGAACACAATGTCAGCTTTCTTTTTATCTAAAAGGGGCCAGAATGAAAAAGAGGAGAACTTTGGTTTCCATAGCCACACATTAATAAGCAAACTATAAATTAAAATAATTGACATAAGACATTCCTATAACTCATTACATTGAATACCTTATCTCAATCCCATGCCTCTATGGCTTCTGAATTCACAGCCCTCAACACATTATGCTAAAGACAAGAAGATAAAATGATAAACCACTGAAACAAAAAGGAAAGGACACGGAAACTCCATGAAACTGAGTTCTCGTTATTTCATACCAAATGGTACTCTACGATGGATTCAGTGGTCTATAGCCTCAGGTGTTTTAGGAAATACCATTGAACACTTTCTTCTGGACAAAAATAAAGGTTGATATCTGACAGAAGTCAGGGGACATCTAGAAGTGCTAGAGGCAGAGCAAGGAAAAGCTTCAGATACAAATTGGAAAATGGAAAGCAGACCCCCGCCTTTGAAGGGTGGCATGCCGGTATGCTGAGAGCTTTGTGGGACACTGCTGAAAATCAGTAGCATTTGGGGTAATAATCCAATTATTTCAAATGGTCAATATCAGAGTAGAGAAGGTCATGGATTGGCCAACTTCAATGATGTTGTCCTATTCTGAGAGCCAACAAGCCTGTGGTTACTCCTCAAAGCACCTTCATAGAACCTTTCAATGGGGCTACATTAGCCTTACTGAAGCTTGTGGAAGTCTCATGGAAGAATCAGTGACCATATGCTTCCTAGGATATTTCCTTCTACAATTTCAACTGATTTTTATGCTAGTAATTACTTTCTAATACTATATGTAGCAACAACCTTACAAGATGAAAATTATTCAAATAAATGCTATTTACATTTCTCAATTGGAAAGCAATTGATGTCATACTCTGCAGTCATGGGTTCCACAGTTCATACCTGTTCGAGGGGGAGAGGGTATGTCCACTCCCGGTGGTGCAGGTGTGACTCCTGAGGGTCCAAATGAGTTCATGATCCTCTCTTCTACCTTGGGAAGATCTTTGAACTCTCGCACTGTGAAGACCAGTCTGGGGTTATTGGTGATAGTCTGCATCTCCGTTCTGTCAATGTTTCGGTCTCCTACCCCTAAACTCACAATCCCTGCATTGCGTATCACCTGTGAAAACTGGGAAATGTCATCCTGGGATTTTCCACCCAGAATCAAAACCAGGTGTTGGGGCACCCCATCTTCTATCCGGCTTCCAGCAGACTTGACAAAGAAATGTCTTGCCACATGTTCCAGAGCTATGCCAGTATTCCGTGGAGACCCTCCTTTGAACCTCAGGCGGCGGATGGCATCGATCACAGCGCCCTGGGACTTATGGGTCTTCAGGTAGAATTCTGGGAAGACTTTATTGCTGAACTGCATAACTCCAATTCTCACTTTATTGGGGCCAATGTTGAGCCTTTGGACAATCCTGATGATAAAGTCTCGGATGTGTGCAATGCCTTCAATTCTCACACTGTCGGAGCTGTCAATGAGGAAGACAATGTCGGCAGCATCACTCTCGGCAGCTGGGAGAAAAGAAGAGGAAAGCTCAGTGCATGGCTCGCACCCATGTATTTTGATTTCTGCCTTTGTTTCTGAGGTTTGTATTTTATTCTGGACTTAGTGTGGTTTTGCACCATAATATTAATATTAAAACTATGATCTGAGTCATTGGTGTTTATTTCTTGGAGTTTTTAAAACTAATCATTAAAATTGGGTCTTTTTCACCTAAACAATATCCACTTCTTGATATATTTTAAGGTCTCCAAGACTTTCTGACTTTACTCAATTTTAATTTTGGCTTTGGGGTGTGGGATATAACTCATTTCTAAAATAAAAAGCTATATTTAGAAACAAATCCCAGACCCATAATCTACAGAGTCATGAACTATTACCACCATAAGGAGCTGAGATCATCCAGACCAATATGTTGTACAAGAAGAGAGAAGCAGCTGAGGTCAAAGTCCTTTCCTCACCCATGCTCACCATTTAGCTGCTGACCACCCAAGTAATCCCAACTGTCCCCCAGAGGGCCACTACAGCTCCCCATGTGTTACAGTCATAGTATTTCTTTTTTGCTCATATTTCTCTAAGATTTATAGAAAGTTTTTATTTTCAATATTACCATTTCTATTTCTTTACATGAGTTCATTTTTAACTATAAAATCAATAAGAAAGTCCTGTTTTCCTCTTAATTGGTGTTCTAGGTACTTCTTGGATGCCATGTATTAAACTACTCATATGTTTCCACTCCACAAATTCAACCTGTATTTCGCTTCATAAATCACTCGGCTACTTATAGTGGAAACAGCACAACATAAGGTGAGTAAGTCTTGGAATTGAAATGTTTATACTAAGAAAGAGGAAATCTCTCCTGGCATACACAGCCAGGCCTCAGAGAACATCAACACCAAGGAAAGCCACACTGTGGCCACCATGAAGCAAGACAAAGATGAGGTCATGCTGGAATCCTATGTGAACACTGACAAAAAGAAGACAAAAATAACCAAACACCCCTCTGTCCTGGCTCATAAGAATGATCACTGCTTCTTTACCAATTATAGCTTTAGCTATAAGATTTAGTAAGGACCCAATCACAGAATTCCTTTCATTTCTTAACAACATCTGATCCTGGCAAAGTCCCACTTCCTCAAGTGTTCCACAGACTCACTTACCATAGCTTGAGACCTATCAGAAATCCTTTCCAACACTGAGCTATCCGTGGTTCACCATCCTATGCATACTTCTTCCTGGCCACAATCAATAGGCCCAATTGGCTCAACCACAGGTGTGCCTTTTTTTAAATTAACTTGTCCTGAGGACAATGGATCTTTGAACCTTTTTTTAAATATATATATATAAAACACTCAGAGAGCTGCAATATCAATACATCAAACCTACCAGGAGGAGGGTAGGGAGCTCGGGCCAGCATCTGCTGAATCTGCTGTGAGGTCAGGGTTGTGATGGGCGTCAGCAGCCTCTGCTCCAGGTTGGGCAGCTCCCGGAAGGTGTCCACTGAGAACACGTACTCAGGGCTCAGGGAGATCTTAATCAGCTCCTCCTGGTCTGCATTCCTGGCAATGGGAAATGGTGCCACGCCATACCGCTTGAGCTCTGCTGCCGCGTCGTCCACCTCGTCCCCAGAATTTCCAGATGAAATGAGGACCAGGAACTGAGGAACGCCCTCTTCAATCCGGCTCCCCAGTGGCCTCTTGAAGATATTTTTTGACACATACTCCAGGGCATTCCCAACGTTGATCTGCTGCCCGCCCTTGGGCCGCAGCCGCCTCACCGCATTCTGCACCTCCTCCTTGCTGGAGTATTCGTTGAGCAAGAACTCCACATGTGTGCCCTCACTGAACTGGATGACTGCCACCCGGGTCGTGTCAATGCCCACGTCCAGCGAGTCCACCACTCTCTCAATGAGGTTGCGGATGTACTGAAACTCAGGAGCAGCACGCTGGGACCCATCAATGAGAAAGACCACATCCTTCTTGTTGCCTGTGCCTGCGAATCAAACCATATACCATGGGTTTCACCTTTATTGGCATCTAATTCTCAGCATTAACAAACCACCGCCCTGGTTGTCATGGAATAAGCATCTGATGGGCAAATATCCTAATGCTAACCCTTGGCACAGCAATGACAAGTCAGGGAGGAGAAGAGGAACCTGCAAAGGATAAGGTAACTGAAGGAGGCAGAGACGAGGCATATAAGACACATGTGTAGACGAAGTGGGAATGGTATTTCAGGAAGGAGGGGACCTCAGCGGTGATAGCAAAATGTCACTTGTGAATTGCCCATGCATTGGAGGGGCCTTGAGAAGAGCACTCTGAGTGGAGTGGCAAGAATGAGGGGCAGAGAGGTGGGTTCAGAGCGAAGTTGTAGGGCGTATAGGAACTCACCTAAGCGGAGACTGAGGCGCTGCTGGAGGGGATGCAGGGCTCCATGAGAGAGTGTTTGACACAGAGAGAAAGCGACAGGTTTGCAGAATGAAGGAAACCACCTTCCCATCCTCAATGGAGAACTGGTGACGCAGGAGCGAGAAGAAGCAGGTGATCAGGTGATAGGAGAGCCCGGGAGCAGAGGCGGGTCACCACAGGCACAGGAGGGAAGCTGAGTTGGGGATACCGGTGCTGGGATGGACCACATGGTGCTTCTGGAAGTTCTTTTCCAATTTACTTACATTTCTCAGAGTAATGGGATTCCAGCCACCATCTCAGACTAAGCTGAGGGAGAAGAGCATAGAAGAAGCGGGTGGGAAGAAAGGAGGAGGAAGGATATAGTCACTTGAAAGAGGGAATGTGAGTGGGCAGGAATCCTTTTATTATGGAAACATGGGCTTGCACTTCAGGTAAAGGAGCCGCATGTTCCAATGCCAACATTTCCAAAGGGCGCTCTCAGGACACAGGCGCTGCAGCTGTGCTGTGCAAAAGGCTCTGGCCCCACTGCACTGGAGGCACTACGCACATCGATTAGGGGGAAAGCTCTTTCCCTTTGTTTATCTCATGATGCCTGCATTCATCTGATGACAAACCCTTTTAGAACAATCCACGTGCTGCTCTCTGCCCTGGACACCAGCGAGGAGAAGCTGACACCCCTCCCTCGCACTGTGTCCGTCAGCCTCACCTCCCTCGTCTACCCAAAGGCATGTATGCTGCATCCCACTTTTCTCACTGGTTTTTTCTCCTCCCTACCTTCCCCCTGCTCCATGCCATGAGGCCATGGATGGTGTCCTGTAGAACATGAGCCGCAGGGAGAAGCCACAGTTCTCTCCCCAACTGGGGCACAGAAAGGACAGGCCGCTGCTAGGTATTTTTGGAGGGTGTGACCATATCTCAGTCCCCTTTCTTCTCAGTGGCCAGGCTCCCACCGTTTTATAGTTTATTGTAACTAGGCCGAGGAAAGCAGATAAGAAGGAGGATATAGGATAAATACCATCACATAGCCTGGCAGTGTTCCTGTCAGCTAAGACACTTCTCAGCACCAAGCAAATTCCAACACAATCCTCACACTTTGGCTCTGGAAACACCGGTATTTCAGAGAATGTGTTTCAGCTTGACAAAGAGCCTGGGCTCTAACCCCGTCCCTGGTCATGGAAGGCTGCCAGCTGACCTCCCTCCGGCAGCTCAGAACCACACTGAACTGCTGTTAGCGATGAGGTGGCTCTGCCCTTTGGATACCTACACAAAAGCCTTCATGCAGAGTCAGAGCACCTGCACTATCAGCGAGGCACATGCCCTTCCTCAGCCTTTACTTTGGCAAAAAACATGAATCTCAGCATCTCCCCAAGCCTCTGTCATTTCTAAAAACCAAACAAGGTTCCTAATTCTTCACAAAATTAGGTGTATAATAAATAGAAGAAACAAAATGTGCAGGCCACAGTCCAAAGTAGCACCGGATGGTTCAAGGAATGATGATCCAAGAGTCTTCTCCTTACCTGGCCTCGATGGAAGACTAAACACCGGCTCCAACTTGCCCAATTCTTCGCTGGTGAGCTGGGTCACCCTCTGGGAGATGTCCTGCTGGACATTCTCCAGCCGTCTGAAGGTGGGAACAGCCACTGCAAAGTCTGGGATGTAGGAGATGGTCTGCATCTCTGTGATGTCGGCATTCCCGATGCCAATGCCAATGGGCACAACCCTGCCCCTCTTCAGGACCCCTGAGGGGCCTCTCACGTCATCCCCGGACCTGTCCGCTGTGAGGACAATCAGGAGCTGGGGAATGCCTTCTGCCATCCTGCTTCCGGCAGAGCTAATCAGGATATTCCTCAGGACAAAGTCCAGAGCGGCCCCAGTGTTGGGGGTCGGCCCTCCCAGCAGTGCCAGCCTTTGAATGGCACTGACCACACTCTGCTGATCCATGTATGAATTCAGGTAGAACTCAGGCCTGGTCCGGTCACTGTACTGCACCACGGCCACACGGACTCGGTCTGGGCCCACATCCAGGCTCTCCACCACTCTCTGGACAAAATCCTTCAACAGAGAGAAGCCGCTCCTGACACCATCAGAGCCGTCGAGTAGAAACACCACATCCTTTCCAGCTGAACCTGGAAGGAAGACAGCCCAAATGACTCACACAGGATATGAGAGGGACAGTTCCACTACTGATGGTGGTGGGCTGAAGAATGTCTGATTCAGAATCCCCAGAACTTGGCTTTGGGGATGTCCTTATAGGTGAGAGACAAGAGGATCAGGTTTTGAGGAAGAAGATATGAGGATGGAAACAGAAGTCAGAGAAGAGAGAAGACACTAGGCCTCTGGCTTTGAAGCTGGAGGATGGAGCCGCGAACCAAGGAATGCAGGTGGTGTCTAGGAGCTGGGAAAGGCCAGGAACTTCCAAGAGGGACATATCCTGCTGATACCTTGATTTTAGTCCAATGAAACTGGTTTTGCATTTCTGACCCCTAAAACTGTCAGAGAATTAATTCCTTTTGTTTTAAGCTGCTCCACTTGCCACAGAAGGAAACAAACTCACTAATTTATATAGATAGCCCTTTCATTTTAGAATTGTTCAAGTCTTGAGCAATAAACTTTCAAAGGTGTACTCAAGAAAAACACTGAGGGCTAGAGAGATCTAGGTAGAAGAGACTACATAACCAATAACATTTTCTACTTGGGCGGTTTCAAATAAATTGCTGCAAGTCACAGTGGATCAATGGGGGAAAATGTAACCCAGATGTCCAGGTTACAATCCAAAACCAACAGTGTATGGGACCAACAGTCAATCTAGACACTCTAGATTCTCAGCTTTTAATAAAAAGGATTGGAGATGAAAGGATTTTTGACCACTAATATGTCTAAATTTTTATCATGTATCTTACTGTGAAACTAGAGGCCCAAAAATCTGTGCACTTGGGAGAGAGGGTGTCCCTTAGCATGGCCTGTGCCCTCTTGCAGTCCAGGATCCCTCAGGGGATGTTCACCTCCCAGCTTAGGCCCACTCCCTTGGGGAGTCAGACATCCCTATGGCAGCCCAGGAGTCCTCGGGGGATGTGTCAGACAACCTTAGCGCTGCTGAGGAGGCAGGAGAGGCTCCTGCCACCACCACTGTGCTCACAGCTGTGAGCCCAGCTTGTGGCTGAGCAGAGCTCCCCCTGTAGGCGTGCACTGATCACCAGGGGGCAGCTCCTGTGTTGAGCATATATCTGCCCCCGGGTGGTCAGTGCACGTCATAGCAACTGGTTGTTCCTGTTCATTCTGCCTTTAGGGTCAATTTGCATATTACCCTTTGATTGTATAGGATACTCTCATGTCCTTCCAAATAATCACCCTGATTTTCCTGTTTTGTCTTAAAGAACAGTTAGAAAATCCAAGAGAGGAAAGAAAAGTCATATTTCATTGTTCCTACAGAAACCATCTGTTAGTCTTCCACCTTCCCTGGAAACCCAAGGACGGCTTTGATCGCAGGACCTGGAGCCAGCAGCCCACCATCAAGCCATACCCTGGAGAGCTAAGCTGAAGGTACAACCAGAATTCCTATGCCATACCTGGTGAATGCACTGGCACTGTTTTTAGGAGATTCACAATCTGTGGTTGAAGTTCTCCAATCTTGGGAAGCGACTCCGCAGCCAGGATAAAGGCAGGGGATGGTACTACCAGCTCTAACTGGGCAGGGTCTGCATTCTTGGCCTGTAACACGAAAGGTATCACCCCACTCTGCTTCAGCAGGCGTGCCGGCTCTTCCACACTATCAAACGAGCGTCCTGCCACCAGCAGCACCAGGAACTGGGGCACCCCATCCTCTATCCGGCTCCCGGCGGACCTCACATAAATGGATCTGAGTGCATTGTCCAGGGCATAGCCCACATTGAGGGTTTTGCCAGTCTTGATTTTCATTCTCTTCACAAGATTCAGGATTTCAGGCTTATGCTGGTGCTGATTAAAATGAGACTCGACCTTGACATTGTCGCTGTACTGAGCCACTGCAATTCGGGTCCCATCCGGCTTCACATCTAGCTCATCGATCACCTTGTAGAGAAAGTCACGGACAACTTGGAACTGGCCCACAAGATTGGCTGAGCCATCAAAGAGAAATAGAATATCTCGCTTGCTCTCTACAAGAAAAAGGAGGTTAGGACACCATGAGGTTCAAGAATATAACAGGCACCAAACTGACATCAGCCCAGCACCACCAGCATTTGGTAACAGTTCACACAATTCATCTGACGATCACTGTACCAACAAGGGAGGCAGAACCCTCGCCAGCTGTCAGTAAAATGTCTGTTTCAGCCCGGCTAGTGCGGCTCAGCATTGACCCATGAACTAAGAGATCATGGTTTGATTCCTTTTGGAGTACATGCCCAGGTTGTGGGCTCAATCTGCACTGCAGGAAGCAGCTGATCAGTGATTCTCTCTCATCATTGATGTTTCTATCTATCTCTCTCCCTCTCTCTTCCTCTCTGAAATCAGTTTAAAAAACAAACGAACATTTTTTAAATGTTTGTGTCAAAGCAGTGTATACTTGCAAAAGACCCGAATAACAAGTTGATCCACCCAATCTGAGAGCTTCTCAACCGAGCGAGACAAGGACAAGCCCACAGAGTTCTATTGATACACTAGGGGCCATCATTCTAGGAGAACAAACAGTGTTTTCAAACTATAGATTATCAATCATGTTTATTGTCTTTTGCCTAAAAATTGACCTATCTCTAGTGAAAAAGGCCAATGTAAGTTAATTGCACAGGGATAACTGAGCTGACACATTATCAGCTGAGTCGATGATCAGTTCTAACTGGATTATCTTTTCATTAAATTGGAGGTAATGGATTATGACCCAAAATGGAGCATCTCATTGCTCTGTGGTCAGGCAGGCTGTCTGTCACTGCTTTCCAAGCTGCTGTATTTAGACAACAAAAAAGGATGACCACCCATATGGGGCTACACTGGATAACGTGAACATGATTTTCAGTTCACACAATGGGAATTCATTCGATTAGGTGTGGGTTGTCTCAGTCTTGTTACCTGTCCATGTGATGTCAGCTGCAAGATCCAGTACTTGATATCTCTCACAACTGAATTAATTTGCAATAAGAACAACTATCCAAGACTTCCTTTGGAAATCATGTTACTGCCACATCAAGTGGCAGCCTTTGTTGAGTTTACAACAAATAATTGTCTAGATACAGCAGATTTTGAACATAACAAAAAAAAAAGCCATATAAAGAAAAGAACTGTGATTTCTAACTGATGCCAAGGCATCCTCATGTATGACAGGAAACCCACCTCTATCTATCTACACCCTCTCACTTCCACCTGAATCTTCACAGGCATTGGGGGTGGAGGAGACAGCTTTTGAATAAAGGGTGGGATAAGATGCAAAGAATGTAAGCTGAATTTCCTAGACTTGCTTTCATCAATGAACACCCTTTAGATAGAGAATGTAAACTTGCTGGTACAGTGTCTCAGACCCGCAATCAAAATACTTCAACCAAAGGGAGTCAGTCAAGTTTCTAGGGTTCACCATGCCCTTGAGTTCGGGTTGGGCCACCTGCCTGCCAGGGGAGGGAGCCCCGAGCAGTGGGGGAGCTTTACCTGGCTGGGTGAGATGCACTTCCTCCACACCTCCACTAACATATGTGGTTAGGGGCTGAATGAGCTGCTGTGGCAAAGCTGGCAGAGAGCTGAAATCATCCATGAGATACACCAGGCTCGGGTTAAAAGCAATCTGCTCAAGCTCGGCCTTATCCGCCTGGTTAGCTCCCACACAAAAGGTCAGGATGCCCTCACGGGCTAGCGCATTGGCGGCTTGCAAATAGGAGTCCTCAGACCGCCCCGCCGTAAGCAGGAGCAGGAGCTGCGGGACGTGTTCACGGATCCTGCTGCCGCCAGTTTCAATGAAGTGGTTGGCATGGACATAGCGCAGAGCGGAGCCCATGTTCAGGCCTGAACCCCCCTGGAGCTGCAGCTGTCTCAGGTGAGCAAGCAAATCTGACTTTGTATGGTACGTGTTTAGGGAGAACTCCGTGACCGGAGTATCACTAAATTGCACTAAACCCACACGAATATTGTCGCTTCCAACATCAAGGCTGTTAACTACATTCATTACAAAGTCCCGCACATAGGGGAAGTTGGTCTTTCCAACGTTGAGTGATCCATCCAAAAGAAAGATGATATCCCTTGGGTTTACGTGAACTGCAGTGAAGCACAGAAAAGAAAGTGAGACACGAATTCATGTGTGCCTGCAATCGGTGCACACATGCCAACACTCAAGACATAAGACATCAGTGAGGCAAAGCATATCCATCTGGTAAAATATGGCAGAGGTGCGCATATTTTCCCTCCGTGGCTACCAGTGCTATGAGGTATGCCATAGCCAAGTTTATGAGACCAAGTTGGCTCACAGAGAGACACACAGCGCCAAAGGTAGAGTGCTTTCAACCAACAAAAAGGATCGGAGTCCTTGAACCAGAACATCCTTCTTTCGAGAATAAATTTTGCAAGAATGACGTCAAATTCTGCCTCATTTGTGTCTCTGAATCAGGTTCACAGCCAAGTTCACCTGGGTCTTCAGGGTTCACCTCTATGCATTCACAGAGATTTCCCTTACAGATAAGTTAGAAGCGTTAACCCAAGTTAACCTGAGAACATGAGTCCCTTATGACTAAAAAACTCAACACTGTTAGTCTGTTCTCATCTTGAGGGATTCCTACGGGCACCCATTTGTCATTTCCTACTGTCCTCTTTTCCTAAAAGGGCATCACGGGGTTGCCAGATGTTAATACAAAAGGGTACCTATGGGAATCCCTCTGGGTGAGATCACAGGATCCCAGAAACATGTGAAAATACAGAGTCTATGTGCTATGCTTGGCTGTATACATGAAGAATCAAAAGTGTAATTCTCAAATTAGAGTGTTTTCCCAACACATTTAGTACATGTCCTTTGAAAAAATTACTTCCCATCTCTTCCTTGGTGTTTCACTGAAATTTAAACCTAACAACTAATTTTATCCTTTATTCTATCAAATTGTACTTTGGCTATGAGAAGGTGGGTTAGAATTTTTAAGAAAATAAAAGAGAGGGAGAGAGATAGGCAGAAACAGAAAGAGAGAGAGAGAGAGAGAGAGAGAGAGAGAGAGAGAGAGAGAGGCTTTTAGAAGACCAAAGAGCATAAAGAGAAAACATGCACTCATGCAACATGGGTCCTACAACATGGGTCATACAACATGCAATATGGGTCATGCAACATGGGTTGTACACTGAACACTCTTTCAGTGGAAAAGTGTTTCCATGGTATTCATCTTCATTGAGGACGGCAAATTATACTTATTCAATTCATAAGCTCATGGACTGCGATGTGTTTTAAAATAACTTCCCACTGACAATCACATTAAATGAGCGATTGGAACAACCACTGGGATTTTCTCTTCACACCTATTCATTCACTATACTTTGCACTGAAAGAAATCCCTAAAGAGAGAGGAGAGAGAGTTAATGTTCTACCCTGGTTGGGGAGGAAGATTCCAGGCTACATGTTGGTAGTGGGAAAAGGAGGCCAGGCAGGTGTCACCAAGAGAAACAGAACACTGGGACCTCATGAAGGACAGGAACTGAGAATTGACCACCTCAACTAGGAGCTTCAAAGATAGGTGACCCTGAACCTATAATTCGAGTCAAATGGTTCTTATGACATTTGAAGGCTTGCAATCTCATGTGACATCTTAAGACATGCAGTTGTATCATAGGTCATCTAAGTCTTACAATTCCCTGCTCAGGATAAATGGAAACCTGACATAAATCTCATGGGTGGCTCTTGCTTCCACCACTTCAGAGTTGTCTCTTAACTGAACACAAGTAAAACTTTCTTTCATTTTGTTTCTCAAAGGCTCAGCCCGCAGACCACCCTGTGGTGTGTCGGACACCTCCCACCCTGGCCGTACCTTCTGTGGTTCCGGAGAGGGTCCTGAGAGGTGCCAGCAAGCTGGGCAACATGCCTTGCAAAGGGGCAGTTTGAAACTCAGCCGGGGTGAACACCAGCGACGAATCGAAGGCCATGTCCGCCAGCTCCGCCTGGTCGGCAGCCTTGCTCCCAACTGCAAAACACAGGATGCTGCTCCTCTTCAGCTCCTGGGCCGGCTGGCTGACTTCATCTAGGGACTTACCACCTGTAATCAGCACCAGGAGCTTGGGGACCCCCTCGGTGGCCCGGTGCCCTGCTGCACTAGTGAACAGGTTGTTCCGAACAAAGTCCAGAGCAGCACCTGTGTTCAGGGCCGAGCCTCCCATGGGCTTCATTCTCCGCACAGCGGTCATGACTTCCCTCTTGCTGGGGTAGCTACTGAAGTAAAACTCTGGCCTCACAGTGTCTGCGTACTGAGCTACTGCCACCTGGATGAGATCCTGTCCAATTTCCAGCCTCTGGATGACCTTGCTAATGAAGTCACGGATGGCATTGAAGTTAGACAGTTCCAGTGCTGATGAGCCATCCACCAGGAAAAGTATGTCCCGTTTGTTGACTTCGATGACTGTAGGTAACAACATGAGAAGGTGAGTAGAGCAGTCTGACCAACCACATTCAACTATGACTCTACACAGTTCATTCTGTTTAAAGGACTTCCCCATTGGCTCTGGCTAACGTGATGTGAGGCCGGGGAGCTTGTCATTACACACATAGGAGAATGACAGCCCTATGGGATGGCACATCCCCCACCCGCTCAGCACTTTTGTACAAAATTATTGCCCAAAAACAGATTTCGTTTCAGTAGTCACCTGATCAGCATGTTGTCACTGAAAACTTCAAGAAGCCCTTTCCTGCCATAAATCTAAGGCTTGGGTTTGCGAGGCCAGAATGAGGCTACAGCTTGGGTAATGGAGGAAGCAATCAGTGGGGCTCAGAGGGCCCTGTGGCACAATCGTGAGTTCATGAGCACCTACTGCCAAGTGCAAATGCTAAGAGCGCAAACACCCATTCCTTCCGTTCTAGTCTCCATGCCTTGATTTTTCAGGCAGCAGGGGAAGTAACACACCAATTACTTGGCATCATAAAACTTATAAAAAGGAAACCAGTGTCAAAACCAGTAAATGGCATAGAGCATTTTTCAGTCGGAGCCTGTGCTGTGAAGGTTCTAAGTCTCGTGGTAAGCGTGTGATTACTTAAAGACAAACCACGAAGCAAGGACACCTGGACAAGGCCCCTGTGCCCTGCATGTCACCGCGTGGGCAGTGCCTGAGTCACGGGACCGAAGACTTGAATCAGCCCATCACACCCCACCCAGAAACCGGCAGGGCGTCCAGACTTACAGGAACACCAGTGCTGACAGCTAAGGCCGAAGGGCTCTGTTTATTCAGTCATGATCTGGCCACAAGGAGCCCCTATCACTTGTGTGGTCAGATCAATAATATGTAGCACATGTGACTACACTGACATTTATCGGTCCACACTCTTCTCTTTAAGAGAAAACATGGAAATGCACACAGACACCAAGCATTAGGAGCAGGCACACGGAGACCATGGCTTTGGTGCCAAGTTGTGGTGTAAATAATACATTTTGAGTCCTCAGCTCTCCTGGAGACCTGCAGATGCCTGGGGATCTCACTGTACCTGCTGCTGAAACACAGGAGTGTCCCATGCCCACCTTCTTTTCCCCCTCCATTGCTCTATGGAGGACATGTAAGAGCCATACAAACAGCCATATGCCTGTTTTCACACACAGACAAGGACAGCGAGCACACCTGGGTCTATATGCACTCACAAACGCCCCCACTTATAACCACAGATGGAGGAGCTGATGCTGATACCCTATGTACAGTTTCCTATGCTCAGCACGAGGTGTGCACCACATGTGATGGGTTTCTAGAAAGACCAATCAGTACACACCCTGTCCTAGCCCACTCCCGGCACCTGCTGGAGTGGCAGCCCCTTGCTCGTGACTTGCCTACCCAAGTAGAGGCTCTTTGCTCTTACAACCGGTTCTGCTGGGACTTCCTTGCTCGGAAGTGAGCCTGAGGTTCCACTAATCTGTCAGCTTCAGCTCCCTCAGACTCCAATCCTCCAGCCACACCTGAAGCCCCAAATCTGCTCACCCTGACTCCCAATTGGCCCCTTGCACACTTCACTTCCCTCTCTCCATCTTCAGGGCCTTGACCCCAGCTCCCTGGCCCTTCCTTCAATCAGACACTCCTGGCAAGCTTTGCACTCTGCTCAAAACTGTCACACAGCAAACTCATGTGGGAGGAGGCCCTCAGCTCCCATTGCACCCACCATACCCTACTCTCCCTCCCCCACACTCTCCCTCCCTCCATGTCTTCCTCCTAATCAGCTTCTTGGCAGCTCGAGCCCCAGGCGATCGCTGTCTCCCTGGATTCACACTGCTCTCACCTGGCTTCCAGCACCCTCCCTCTGTCACTGACTGCTCCCCTAGGCTTCTTTCCAGAACTTTCCTTTCCTCACCAGTTGTACAAGCACAGTGCCTGCAGCCTGGTCTCATGCCTGGCTCTCCCCATCCACACTCCCAGACCTCTCCTCTCAGCCGACAACCATGTCAGCCCCAGCACCATACTCCTTTCACTCACATTCCATGTGCCCACAGGAAAGCTGTTCTCTCACTTGTCAAGTAATTGCCAGCCCCACTGGGAGGCACCAGACACCTGTGTGCTATAGGCAGCCACTTGGGACTCTCTCCCCTCTGCTCCTCACCTGCTTGCCTTCTTTCTTCATACCATTCTTGGGCCAGCCTTCCCTGGCCACCCCATCTGAAGCTCTTGGCCCCATTGCTCCCACTCCGAACCCCCCTCCTGGCCTCATCCCTCCAGCTCCCTCAGGCTCCACACCACCCCACCCCCCCCCCCAGCCACACCTGAAGCCCCAAATCCACTCACCCTGACTCCCCTCATCCAACTCTTCACTGGGGAATATTTGGTGTGGTCTCTGGTTTATAATTTTGTCATTTATCTCCCCATTATATTCTGACATGCCAGTAGCCACACTGGTCTTGGTCACCAGCCCTGTAACTCCAGGGCCTGGAATACTGTCGGGCTCAAACCAGAGAGCCAAGAGTACTAGGTGAATATTTAAAAACTAATCACAAAGATTGAAGATGATGTGTAAACTGGGAATTAACACTTAATCAGCTAGTTAGCTTAGGAAAACTGAAATGAGGGCAACACGCTGTCCAAAATAAAAAAGTTTTGAAACTTTGCCTGGAACAGAACTATACCTTCACCAAGTGTGATCCCTATGTCCCCAGCCCAGCATCACCCAGCTGGTGAGCGTGGGATTCAGGCTCAGAGGCCAGTTCACCATGGTGCTCCTGCAGTGTTTACAAAACCTGTGGAAATCGGGTGTTTGTTTCCAAAAGTGTGCAAGCCCGGAGAAACCTTAGTGGATTGTATTCCCATCAGAGGGATGTCTGGAAATATCAAAAGGATCTTCAGAATGTAATGTCATGTCGATTCTAATTAACCTCCCCAACTATTATACATGCCTGCAGCCATTGTAACAAGATCTCTGATGGACAGAGGGCATCCACAGCTCATATCACTGGTACATCTGTGTGCTGGTTCTTTAACTGCCTTGCATCAAGCACCATTGCATTCTTATTTAAATTCTGAGATCCACTTCCTACCTCCCACAGTTGTTACATGTTGTATTTATGGAACTTGGTTAGTTCTATATTTTTTAAATGGCCCCTATTGGTCTTCCTGCCAAAGACCCATATTTGTGTGTATGTCATCATGTCTCCATTCAGAAGAACTATTACTAAATTTGACAGGTGCAGGGAAAAGTTTCTCCTAAATATTACTCCACGTGAGGGCTCTGTTATGCATTACCAGCAGAAGCGCACTTCTCAATACTCAGCACACAGAGGACTTTGGGAGACAGCCCCCAGGGACCTGTGAGCACACCTTTAACATCCTGGCTCTCAGAAGCCAACGCCCTTTCCCCGGAGTCATTTTCCCAGGACTGTGATGAGCTCTTGCGGTCCACCGCTAGCATGACTGCACGATGAGGAGATGACACAATGATGTCTGACGTCTCAAAGGAGCAGGTCTGTTGAATTGGCCTCACAGACTGACAAGGACTTTCTACTCAGTCGTACATCTTCAGCTTTTTAGAGACCCCACCATCCCAGACATGAGATCCAAGAGCCAGCTCACCTCCAGAGGGCTCAGCTGTGGTACTTACAGGTCCTCCTCAAGCGATTCATTCTGTGAGGTGCCCGCCTTCCTTCCACAAAAGCCAACACACAAAACAGCCCGCAACCCCTTTGGATGGCGAGAAGAGCATACGTACCTTGTGTGACAATGGTTGGCGGTTGCAAGACAATGTGCCTTTGGGCCACGCCAACAATGTACGACAGTAATTGCTCCTGGAGGTCCCCAAAGCTACGGAATTCCGGGACAGTAAACACCAAGTTGTCATTGGTAGCTATGTATTGAAGCTCTGCCCTGGGGGCGGCCTGGGCTCCGAGGGCGAAAGAGAATACGCTAGCCTGCTTCAGCGCCACCACCCCGTCGTGGATCTCGTCACTAGAAGGCCCAGCACTTATGAGCACCAGCACCTGGGGAACCCCTTCGTCCACACGGCTGCCCCCTGCCCGAGTGAAGTGATTCTCCACCACGAAATCAAGGGCAAAGCCGATATTGGCCAACTCCCCACCAATGAAACCAAGGGCTTTGACTGCATCCAGAACCTGAGCCTTGGTGGGGTAGGTGTCCAAGGAGAACATGGTTCTGGGCTCATCGCTATACTGGACCACCCCCACTCGGATCTGCTGAGCTCCGACTGAGAGTCTCTCAAGGAAATTGACAAGGAAGTCGCGAATGAATGTGAAATTGACACTTCCGGTGTTGTTTGATCCATCAATAAGGAAAATAATGTCAGCAGAGTCTTGTGCTTGAAAAGAAAGAAATGCAAAAAAATGTGAAAGCGTTAGAACAAGTGACCACATGCATTGTTCAGTGTTCTGACATGTTTCTTTGGAAACCAATAAGAAACACGAAATACAAACAAACAAAACACATGTTGATTAGGGAATGTGGAATTCTCTTTTCGTTCTGCATTCGGAGTGAATAAGAGGCAACTTCTTGGAATTGATAATGTAAAATAAGAACCTTTATCTTATATTTTCATTTGTCCCATCTGTGTAGGGCAGATTTTCACATTCACTTTTCTGTGGGTGAAAATCATCAGTGCATATTCTAAAATTTTTCTATTAAATTTGGAGGGAAATACAGTATCATAGAATTGTGCACTACCATACCCACAGGATAAAATAAAGGAGGACATTAACTAAGGTTCAAAGTTGAATTCTAATTTGGGAGTGTTTCTCTTATTATCCTCAAGTGATTGTAAGAATTTCTTATTAAAAAAAAAAAAAAGAATTTTTTATCCAAATCCACAGCTACAAAATGTAATGTCAGATTCTTGAGCAACTGTTGTCTTCTTTTATTTTATTTTTTTCTTTAAAAACCAAGATGGCTGCACACATGCAACTTTGTTAATTTGAAAGGTAGATCTCAAATGGCACTTCAAGTTTTAATTTTCAAAATACTCTGATAAAGTTTTGAGTTGAATTTATTTTCTCATAAAAAGATTAATTGTGTGAAACTCCAATGCAGATCTGGAATTAGGCTAGATGTTGTGCTCATGTACTTCTGCTAGTGCCTCTATATTCAGTCACATAATGCAGAACAATGTTAAGCAGAGTGATATGAAACCAGTCATGACATAATTATCCAACTTTGTTTTTATGACATCCTAAATTGCTTGCCCAGTGGGACCATATGCACCTAATAAACCCTTAATCAGAATTAAATCTGGGGTTATATTAATGGACATAAAAATGGCCAATAAGAAACTTCCATTCCGACACTAAGAATTGGAATTTCATAGAAGCACTGAGCAATCAATAAATCTACTAACCTGAGTAGAATATTTCAAAGGCTCAGCTAGCATATGAAATCAGACTAATTTAAACTATGGGAAAAGCAAAATTATTATGGTGAGAGTTTGTTTGATAACTTAAGTGCATGACAGAATAGGAAGAGATTCAAATGAACATATATGGCATTTACATTCAGAAATTTTAGAAAACTATATTTTGGGTATAATTATAATATTATAAATAAGACCATTCATTCTGATTTTCTTAATGACAGCGAATATCTTCTATTTAAAACTATTTTTGTGCCAACAAAATTGCTTTTTATTTTCACTGCAGAAATGGAATACAAATCTTGTCTCAGGAAATTGAAAAGTTTTGCTACAGTGAAATTATATTTTCATCCAAGCTCTCTCATTGTATAAGCTGAGCCAGTGACTGCTCAAATCAGAGTATCTCTCACCCTTTCCTCAAATACACACAATCCCTGACAACATCTTTACAGATGAATTCCTAGCATAGGGTACATATTAACTTGGGAATATCTTATAAGATTTTTTAAGATTAACTGATAATAAAGTCTAATGAGCATAATTTTTCATGAGAATAATTAAGATCTCTCATTTTTAATCATTGCATACAGAAAAATTAAGACTGGGCCTTTGCTAAGAATGCAAAAACATTCAGCACTCTTTAGCCAAAACCTGGGATTCCTTAAGAATCTCTGGGAGGGTGGTACCAGCAAATGTGACTACGGAACAGGCCAATGAGATATCTTACGTCATCACCTGACTTGAGGTTCTGCCAATCACATGGAAGAATTCCTCAACATTTCTCAGGCCTGAACCAATGACCCTGAGGGACCAAGGAAGGTTTGCCGCATATGTAGCATAGGGAGACATTTGAAAGAGGAATTAATGATGATCCCAGGGTGAATAATAGAAATTATCACAGGATGATGTATTTCTTACTATTTTATTACTTACTTTTATTGCAATTTGCAATGGTAGACATTAAGAGCAATAAACCCTGAGGGAAAACCCTTGGATATTTCTCTTCTCAAAGGCTGAACAGCTGCAGGTCATAGAAAAATGTTGGATAATTTGTCATTACTGAAAAAAACAACCTTGTCCTCTTATGCACACATGATGGGACACACACGGGCATGCTGTGTTATCCAGAAGAGCCGAAGCCTCAGGAAGACACAAGAGCCGGGTTCTTGTGTTCGGCAGGCACCCCAGTGATCCATGGAGACGTGAAGGGTAATCAGCTCTACCTAGAAGTGAAACTGTGAACCTCTCCGGTTTCCTGCCTCTCTGGCTCACATCTCACACCCTCCATGGCATTTTCTACAGAAAACTTTTGCAGTGTCCCTGGAAAAATCAAGGGCTCCTTCAACGCTGCTCTCCTGAGCATGTGAGCATGGCACAATGCCTTCCTTACTCACTGGTTGCTTCCTTTCTGTAAAGGTAGATTTAAAGGCACCTTTGCATTTCCTATGCAAATGCAAAATGGTTGATAGGTTCCATGAGTTCTTGAAATCTTTATATTTTTCAGAGAAAAGAAAGCTGGAATTCTCACTGAATATAGATCATCTTTAGCTTTCGCTTTAGTTTAAAGCTTTTGTGTCCTATATCCACTTAAAAACACAACTTTTAGAGATTGATTGAGAAGAGTTCATTTAGAACAGTGGCAATCATTAACATTTTACACACACACACACACACACACACACACATATTTCTGGGGAAAAGTTAACTGGTGGACATGTAATGGGAAGAAATTACCCCACCTCATTAGACATCTCTGTAATGCCTTCCCATCTAATTACTTTAACCCAAACGATAAGCAAAAGAATTATTATTATTATCTTACTGTGGAGCATGCAGTGGGCCATAGTTCTAGAGAAATTGCAAAGTGAAGTTAATTAGAAAAGGCAACATAAATGGATTAATAGTCCACCCTGGTGCTGCTAGTGGCTTGGACGCTAGAAGACAGAGATGCTTTCTCGGCATAAAAACAAAGGTTTATCATCAGTGTGGAAACATGCTGTACTGATAGCTCACTTAGCATTCAGACTTTAATTATCTGTTCATATATATACAATGATTGAACATAAAGGCAAATTCATCCACTCTTTTTCCTGATTTGGCCAAAGCATCAATAAAGATGCCCCATTTCTCTACTGATCCTCTTTATTATTTTTGACATAAATTAGTTATTATACCTATATTCAGAAATGCAATGACCAGTGAATTATGGATTCTGAGGATAGTGTATCGAATGGAATAGGTCATTTTCTTGCAACAGGGACTGTTTGGTTTGTGGTGCCCTGAGGGTCCCATGTCCTTTTCCTGTAACCTGGTAGGATCAACACTAGCACAGAAAGGAAGCATGTCATTCAAAGGAGGGGAGTGTTTTATATTAAATAGAAATAATCCAGCCTGTCACTCATTCCTCTCTATGAGAAGTAGGCCCACTGGTAGAATATTAGTCCTCCCATGCCATCAAACCTGAAATCACAAGGAACCATTGGGAAAACCATTCTATGAACAACCTAATGAAACACCTTGGGGTTGATCAGTTCTCAAACCCTTCTTGTAACCAAGCTCTGCCTGCCCAAGACAGCTGGCTCTGACCTCCTGACACTGAGTCTCCCTGCTTCCCTTTCTCCTCTCTGCCCTCCATCTCATAGGACATGTTTCTCACCTCTGGAACTCATCTCTCCTCTAAGGTCCTGGATTCCCCCTTCACTTCCTGTTCATGCTCCTAAAATCCCCTGTTCTCCATTGTCCATTGGCTTCATGGACCAGTTCTCTCCACTCTTCCTATCACCGATGAAGAAGCCTAGCCATGTACTGGTCAAAATTGCTATGTACGGTACACTTGACATTTTACTTATCAGATTCCTTCTCTATTGTCTTTTAGACATTCAGCACTGCAGAGAGAGCTCACAGGCTTGACTGGTTAAATAATTTGCCAGCCAGTTCATTCTGCACATGCCCCCGTGCGATAGCCCGTCAGTGTCATGTCAGCGTTATCAGTACTTACAAGCGGCACTTACGGGGCTTTTGAGTCAGGAGAGCCTCTGTGAGCACAGACATGGTTGCAGCATGGACACGTGAGAAACCAAGCTCAGAGTCAAGGCCTAAGGGCCTCCAGCTGGGCTCTCTCTAACTGCATGTCACTTACCTTCTGGGACTCCGTTTCCTCCAAATAGACTTGGACTGGATCATGTCTAAGGTTTCTAACAATTCTAACTCCACCAATTCTCTGGAATAAATTCCACGGAGCAAAAGAGAGGAGCTCTCTTGTTATCCTACTGGACACTAGAGCAGATACCTTTTCTCTCTCCATCCTCACTCTTTCCCATCTCTTTCTTTAAGGAGATGGCCCCTCCGTTCCCATTACAAGTGGCCACACTGACGCTTTCTTTTGTGGGATGTGGTTTTTTTTTTGAGTTAAAGTGTAATTGCTTGATGTGGGTGAGTGCTCTGTCTCAGAAGGCAACTACAGAGACTATTCAAACCTTTGTTTTTAAACCTACGAATGCTCTTTTCCCTGATCCACCCGCCATGGTTTAGCCATAGTGGTGCTTTAAGGCCAGCGGGAGCCAAGCTTATCTCAAGGAACAGCAAGGTGAGCAGCAGCATGGCGGCGACATTGCCATTACCTGTGATGTCTTTAAGGGCCTCTGTGCCTCCAGCCCTTTCTAGAATCACGGATGAACGCACATAGGATACTAAGTTGCCTACTATGTCATGAAGGGAGGTGACATTCTCTAGGTTGAAAACATGCATATTGAATGGTTCACTTGCTATTTCTTTTAAGGCTCCTTCGTCTGCATCCTCAACTCCAATTGCAAACACGTTAACGTCAGCAGATTTAAGTTCCGCTGGGGGCAGAGCAAGGTGGTGGTCCGAGTGTCCATCAGTTAACACTACAATAACCTGAGGAACTCCATCCCCGGCCCGGCTTCCAGCAGCCTCAGTGAGGTGGTTCTGTGTTACGTATTCTAATCCTGTTCCGGTCTGATTGCTTCCCTCAATATAAGACAGGTTGGAAATATGAGAGAGGACCTCTTGTTTGGAATGGTACGTATTTAACAGGAACTCGGTATGTGGGTTGCCGTTGAACTTGACCAGAGCAAAACGGAAATCATTTTCTCCCACAGCTAAAGATTTTATAACATCATATAGAAACTCTCGAACAAGTTGGAAATGTTCCTTTCCAATGCTCCAAGAGGAATCCACTAGAAATATTATATCAGCAGCGGCACCATTTCTGATATCTTTAAAAAAAGACATTGGTTTAGAGTTTTCTCCTGTTCAAGCAGTTACTTCATATCAGTGCAAAGCCTTCCTAAACTAAGTCAGCTTGCACTATGCTCTCACTAAACAATCCACACCTCACTGGCAATGCAGACAGGCAGGCTGACTTACCTGAGGAGTGGGGACCTGGACATCAGACTCAAAGGCCCAATCATTGGCCTGAGTTCCCTACATAATCATTGATTGCACTGTTCTGGGGCAGGTCCAGGGTTGGGAGGATGGGGGGAATCCCCCAAGGTGTTTTTTATCTCAAGCACAATTTTTGTGGCACTTTGAGCCCCAACACTCACTTGACCAGATAGGAGGGATAGCCTATCACAAGTGAGTAGCCATCATTTTATAAATTCAGTCTTCACTTTTGGGATCAAAAGCAGAGCCCTGATGAGAAGGAACAGTGAAAATTTCTGCTGTCTTATAGTAACTAGCCTCCAATGCTTTGGGTAATTCCAAGAAAAATGCACATAGTAAATAAGTCTTCCTTAAGTGAAGATGACTTGTGTTACTGTAGAGAAAGGCAAAGCCTCATGCTTCTCAGACGGTTTAGCATGAGGAAAGGGACCTTAGCATATTTATTAGGGCCAGAAAAGCCTTCATGGGTGTTGGAGATAATCTCTCTCTCTCTCTCAAAGATGAATCCAGTGGGCCCTCATCAGTGGGAGCTGGAGGCTGAGGGTGTGGGGACTGCCCTTCTGCAGCGGTGGCCAGGCTGGCTGATCACAGCTGGCTCCTGGCCTCTACTTACCTCGGGCTGATCTGATGCCCAACCAATGGTCCCCTTCCACTGAGCTGGCGCCCATTGCCCTCCATCTAACCGCTAGTGGGCCGAGCTCTCTCAGCAAAGGATAGGAGACCTAGTCATCCTCTGAGCTCACAGTGCATGAAGCATTTCTCCATTTTCTCAATCTCTGCAAGCAAATTTTTAATTGGGTTCATTAGGATGGATTTTTTTTTAATAGTTTGGAGAAACTGGTTTTTAAGAGATTAGATGACTGCTGATGACAAATGTTTCTGAGTCTGGACTACAGAGAGAGGGTACTATTTTCTGTGTTTTGTTTCCAAGGAAATCAATGTTTACTCTCAATTGTTGTCTTCTGGTTTTAAGCACTCAGAGACCAACACGTGCCAGAAATATAGAAAAGCTGTTCCAATGGTAAAATATTTGTGATACAAACTTTCTGCTCATGCTCTGTGTAAGAATCAACCACTTCTGAACCAACTTCAAGATATCAAACCCAGGTTCTAGTAAAAGCAAGCTGTCTCTCACTGAAGAGAGTGTCTGAGAAGATCTGTAAACTAGATGAACATTTTGCAGTGATCAGTTTAGTTGGCTCCTAGAGGCATCTCTAAGCTCTAAAGCAAGCTCCTGAGGGCTAAGGGTTGAAATCAGAGAACGCTGCTCCTTTTACAACAGCTTTAAGAGACAGTTCTGGATCTTACCTGGTTGTTGCTGCGCACGAGTTAATGAGAAGCCTGAGAGAAAAAGGCAAAAGATGGCCACCAAGGGCAAATGTCGGTGTTTCCTCATTTTGAGTTTGTCTAAGCACCACATGTGAACCTGAAAGAGAAAACAGGGTGGAGGAGAATGAGCAGCATTTGATTCTTAGATTGCTACCGAGTGAATTAAGGACTTGTCGCTCTTAAGAAAAATAGTTTTGACTGAATATGTAAATGAGACTCTTTAAATCTAATATCTAATGGTTGCATTACTTTGGCCATAGCTAAAAACTGTGCTAGTAAACCTTTTTTCCTCTCAAACAGAGGCAGGCAACAGCAACGTGTCAGAGTGGGAGAGTCAGGGTTAAGGTGCTCACAGGCTCAGAAGTGGCGGTTTGTGGACACCTTAACTTTGTGATTCACATTTAGAGCAATCCCCACAGACACACACACACACAGAGAGAGAGAGAGAGAGAGAGAGAGAGAGAGAGAGAGAGAGAGAGAGAGAGAGAGAGCTTCAATTAATGGAGTAATGGAGGGAACAGATTTCACCCAGATCATGGTGTATGCATACACAACCACAGCAGCCTGGACCACTTTTAATCTTCCCCTTATTCTCTATTAATATTTATACAAAACCTTTTACTGCTCCAAAGCATTAGTTATGGGCATCTCTCCCTGCCCAGGTCTCTACTGGACCCAGGTCAGCAGTTTATAAGTGTCTGTTCCCTTGGAGTCCACTAATTGCAAATGGGGATCCATGTCCCTTGATGGAGAAGTTCACCACTTCCCTGGGACTGACTGGAAGGATGGGATGTGTAGATGACCAAGATTTCCTCAAAGAGGTTCTGGGAAGGGCCAGAACCAATTCCATCATCACCGTGAACTTTCAGGGGCTAGATCATATCATTGGCTATACTTCCTGAGCATTAGGAAGCATTTTGGTGTATTGAAAAATGTATTGAGTAGACTACAATTAGGTGAGGAAAGCCCATTTGATTGAAGAAATATAAATACATTTAAAATAGAGAGATTGAGTTACCACCATAATTGATCTTTCATTGTTAGGGTTTGAAAATTAAAAGGAAGGTCTTGTGAATGAAAACATGTGAATAAAAAAACCAAACACATCTCTCTCAGTTTTCAAGTTTATGTCAGATTTTTAAAAGTGATACTTTTTTATTTTCTAATCCTAACTGTCAAAATCCTTCTAAATTGCTTTTATATCCCCCTGCCTTGGGAGTGGTCTGACTCTTGCTGGGAGAGCTAAGGGGAAACAAGAGCAAATGAGACATGTAGAACAGCTTCTGAAATGTCATCACTGTTGACAAAGGGAGGACACTGACAAGACTGCATGAGCCTGGAAGAAGTGAGGACAGAAATACATCACAAATTGAATGACTTAGACGAAGTGGGTAAATGTCTAGAAGCATACAACCTACCAAGACTGAATCACAAAGAAACAGAAAACCTGAATAGACTTAAAATGAGTTAAGAGATTATTTCAGTGATCGAAAATCTCCCAATGAAGAAAAGTCCAGGACCAAATGGCTTCACTGAAGAATTTCCCAAACATTTAAAGAAGAATTAATAATGATTCTTCTTAAACACTTCCAAAAAAATTGAAGAGCAGGAAACCCTGTCAAACTCATCCTATGAGGCCAACATTACCCCAACACCAACATCTAACAAAGATATTACAAGACGAGAAAGCTATAGACCAACATTCCTGATGAGGAGAGATGCAAAAGTTTTCAACAAAGCATTAGCAAACTCAATTCAACAACACATTAACAGGGTGATGCATGACCAAGAACTCCTGGAAAGCAAAGATGGTTCAATACATGAAAATTAATCAATGTAATACATAGCATTAACAGAATGAAGGACAAAAAAAAATACAGAAATATCACATTATAAACTCAACACCCTTTCATGATTTAAAAAACAAAAACAAAAAATACTTAAACTAGGAATAGGAATTACCTTAACATAATAAAGGTCCTATATAAAAAGCCTACTGCTAATTTCTTACTCAGTAGTGAAAAAATATGAAAGCTTTCCTTCTAAGATCAGGAATAAAGCAAGTGTGCCCTCTTTCAACCACATCTATTAACATAGCATTTGAATGCCTAACCAGAGCAAATGTATGCAAAACTGTATGCGTAACAGGGTGTTTCCTGGGGATAGAGTCTAGGTTCCCATGTGACTCTCCCACCCAAGTTTAAGCACCACTGTGCCAATGAAAGTTTCCATGCACATCTTTCAGGAGGTCCAGCTCAATTGCTTTAAAAATCTGATCCAGACACAAAAATACTCTAAGTAGCATTCCAAAACAATTCTATAGTCTGCACTAGAGCTCAATAAAATCAAAGTCATCCTAGGATGAAAGCTGGAACGTCTTTCTGAGACATTACATGCTTAACTGTCTCCTAAGGAAAATGAGAATTTTAAATTGGTTGAAAACTCTAAGTAAGGATTTTTATTTCCGAGATGTTAATCTTTAAGACAGCAATCCCCTAAATTAATTGCTTCCTATTGGGACACAAAGTAATGGAATAAATATACAGTGCACAGGATCTGTCTTTTCCAAAATCTATCCAGCCATTGAAGAGAGGGGAGGGGAGGGGGAGAAGAGAGGAGGGAGTGGAGAAGCTCTTCCAACTCTGAAAATGAAGGGCAGGAGAGAAGTTTGTGAGCTAATGAGTTATCCAGGCTCCGCTGGTGACTAATAAACTCACATGATTTGGTGGAGCTGAATTCCCAGGTGGGAAAACGCCTCCCTGCCACATACTTTTCCTGCCATCCCACTTAGGAGCAGCCATGTGGCTCAGGCTCCCTAGCCCAGATGATGAATATTTGTTAATGCTTCTGTTTGCAGTTAAATCTACTCTATTGTTCACCATGTCAGGGAGTCCCAATTTTTTAAAACTAAAGTTCCTCGCAACTAATCTTGGAGAATTTATTTTTTCATTTAGATGATTAAAAGATGCCCACATCATCGCCCCCAAATGATCACCTAGCTTTTCCATTTTAATAAGGGGAAATGAGGCAGTCACTGCCCCCTGTCCTCTCCTCCCCACCACACCAGGAAACAGACCAGTGAGCCCCAGGAATATTTACTGGTCTCACAGTGGGACTTCATGCCAACAACCCAATGGCTGCTTACACCTCTCCCCTTTCATAGTTGGGGAACTAAAACCAGGTGAGACAAAGTGACTCCCCACAGCCACATAGAGCAAACAGGACCAGCATCCTCCCCAGAGTCAAAACAGAAGCCTGTGCGTCCAACGCCCCCTGAGAACCCAGGAAGCCCTCAGAGGCTTTGCCCAACTTGGCCCAGAGGGAGGGAACTCCCCGCGTCTCTTGGGAGAAAATAGACTTCTTTGGTGGTGACAGACCATGGAGTCTGTGTCAACAGAACCCGTTTGTTCACTGCTGTCCTTTCAATACGGAACAAGCTGGCTGCTCGAGACCCTTGGATTGGGTGGGGCGATGTGCCGCTTTGTGTCATAGTCTCTGTCCTAAAGCAACAAATTTAATAATAGCACTTCAAGGCAGTTTTATTCTTTCTGGTTTGCATTAGTAATTCCTCTTTTTTTTTAATCTGCTTCCTTCTCAAAAAGCATCTTTTTGCTTTTAGTAGCTGTCCACTCCCAACTTGAAAAGATGCCCCATACAATAAAGGTGGTTTTGCACTGCCGTAGACTTGACTTTGTGGTCAGTCACAGTCCAGAGACTTTCCCAGGCTATTTTTCAATTCCGTGGGTTTAGTTTTCATGAAGTTTACTCAAAGGCTTCTCCATTTTCCACGTCTGGAAATCTTTTTTAAGAAAGACACATACACAGGCACACAAGGAAACAATTTTGAAACCAAGGCTTAAACACATCCAGAGCTCCCATTGTGAAGTCATTTATTCGGTCTCCTCCAAAGCACTGCCTTTGAAACGAGGCTGGACCTCCTATCAAGTGCTAGGACTTGGGTTAACTCCTAGCTGTCCTGACTAAAACGGGAGCTGCAGAAATAATCAGAGGCCACGGTGAGAGAGGGGCCATCTGCCGCTAAATGAATGGTCACATTTCAGTAAACCCGAGGATCCTGAACCGGCAGCCCCTCCTTCTCTCTTTCTTGCTCACTCTGCTTCCCTGTCTGCCTGAACCCTGCAAAGGGAGTCCCCATTCTTAGCCCCAGAGAGGAAGCTAAGAGGAGTTTATTGGGTTCATCTGTTAGGAGGAGAGTGGACATGACATATTACTGTCATTTGAAAGAGCTCTGGAGGATCTTCAAAAGCAACTGATTGGGAACAGCCCTGAGAAAACCCCTTCAAAGAAATACATCAGAACCTGCACTTCCATCCCATGAAAGTTCACTAGATAAGAAACATCAGTAGCAAGTTCCTATCTATAATCAGGGATCTACTTGACCCAGGTTCTGACTGTGTTTCCTGGGACAGCAACGTCTTAAGGCCTCCTCTGTGTTGACCCACCCTCACTGCCACTTGTTGGTGTCCTTGGTAGACACCGTGTGGCTGACTCGAGTCTCCATCTCTCCCTGGCAAAATCGAGTGAAACAGTTCTGATCGTCAGCTCAAGTACTGGAAGAAAGCTGGACAGGAAATGCAGGTTGGAAGGTCCCCCTGAAAGCAGCCTCCTCCTGAAGGAGGCCACGTGAGGGGGTGCTGAGCACACGGGGGTTTGCTTCCTTCCCCATAAAGGCAACTTCTAGAAGCTCCAGGGGAACTGCCCACACAGCTGGAAATTTATATGAAGACATAATCCCAGGGTCTGAGGCAATGCCCAGCAAGCAGAAAGCTCCATCTCTGCTGTCATTGGATGCCCTAAACCCACGGATACAGATGTCAAAACATTTACCCTCTGATGCAGGAGCCCCCAGACAAAGCTTCCCCAATGTACGCCACTAATTACAAACATGGGGCGGAATCTGGCTCAGCGTCACGGTAAGGTGGAGGAATCCCTTAGGAAATGGTGCAAAAATGGCACAAACACCCGTTGCATCCCAGCCCCATGACACAGGCCACTGGTGGCCCCAGGTGAGGGCTCAGTGCATGTCCCCCTCGCTTCCTTTCCTGGCCACAGCCTTCGGGGCTGCAGGCC